TTAAATGATTGTAAACAGAAGTTAAATGTTAGATGTCTTATTGATAACGCGTCACAAAACCATATCGTGACAACCGCTTGTTGTAAACGCCTTAATTTAAAACCAATTCCACTTAATGTACATACATCTATTAAAGGTATAGGATCCGCATCGCAGACCGTTCGCGGTTGGGTTCCGCTGTGTGTTTCTTCTAAAAATAACTTGTATAATTACACTATTGATGCGCTTGTCGTCGACGTCATAACGGAGAATATGCCTTCCGTCATGATCGATGCAACGATTATTAGTAGTTTATTAAATATACCGCTTGCTGATCCACTATGGCATACGCCTGGACAGATTGAACTCGTACTTGGGGCTCAATTGTTCCCATATTTATTATTAGGTGGTAAAATTATTGCACCTCCCGCACCGGCCGCTATTGAAACCGTATTCGGATATATTCTTATAGGGGAAGTCGCCTCAACCGCTGACTCCGATACGGCACCCGCCTCTTCAACATTTCTCATATGTTCGGAACAGGAAACACAAAATGATAATTTAGATAAAACATTATGTAAATTTTGGGAACTGGAAGAAGTTCCTTCAAAAAGGTTTATGAGTCCGGAGGAGACTGAATGCGAGCAAATATACTGTGACACAATTTCACGTGATTCTACGGGTAAATATTGTACCTCACTGCCATTTTCTAAGGATCCCTCCATATTGGGTGATTCCCGTTCTGTAGCTACTCGTCGCTTACTCTCTTTAGAACGTAAATTGAAAGATCCTGTTCTTCGTGCTAGTTACAATGAGATCATACAAGAATATCTTATCAACGATTACCTATCGGAAGTTCTGCCCACTAGTAACGAATATGGTAAAGGGTATTACATACCTCATCACCCCGTCATTAGGAATGATAAAGAGACGACAAAATTACGCATAGTCCTTGACGCAAGCGCCAAGTGTCATAATGACATATCTCTAAATGATATATTACATACGGGACCCAACTTACAAGCCGATATATTAATTCTTTTATTGAACTTTCGCTTATTTCCTATTGCACTAACCGCCGACATAAAACAAATGTATCTAAGAATCGAAGTTCGTAAGGAACATAGAAAATATCAAAAGATATTGTACCGTTTTAATTCTACAGAGCCTATTCGTGAGTTTCAGTTTAATCGTGTCGCGTTCGGGCTGCGATGCAGTCCATACCTAGCCATGCGTACTGTTAGGCAGTTGGCAGAAGATGAGAGGACCGGGTACCCGCGTGCAGCTGATGTAGCGACTAATGAACTGTATATGGACGATTTGGCTACCTCCGTCTCGACATTTAAGGAAGGAGTGGTTTTGTCACGCGAACTCATTGCATTATTTAAGGAGGGCGGCTTTCATTTGACTAAATGGGCGAGTAACTCTGTGGATCTTTTATCTGCTGTTCCTGAATCTAACCGAACCGCTATTAATTTTTCGAATAATGATAGTATAAAAATACTCGGATTGAAATGGCTTCCCTCTGAGGATGTGTTTACTTTTTCAACATGCTCTATAGACGAGAAATGTACTAAACGTACTATCCTCTCGGCTATTGCCCGTCTATGGGATGTTTTAGGATTCGCTGCACCAGTAATTCTTTTTGCTAAACTTTTAATACAAGAATTGTGGATCCAACACATTGGTTGGGATGATGCTCCACCAATGGATATACAAACAAATTTTCATAATTTTATACAACAATTAAAACATCTCTCTTCGTTGAAGATACCTAGACACGTTAATGTGGAAGTTGGTTGTACTACCAACATAGTTGCATTTTCCGATGCCAGCATGAAGGCGTATGGATGCGTAGTGTACCTACACGTCACGGATCCGATAGGTAAAGTGCATGTCGCTTTAGTATGTGCAAAATCTAAAGTCGCACCTACAAAAACGGTAACTCTTGCTAGACTGGAATTATGTGCTGCTGTTTTAATGTCAAAACTTGTAAAGCTGGTCTTAGACACGTATAATTCCCGCATTAATATTAATAAAATCTTTGCATTTTCCGATTCACAAATCGCCCTTTCATGGATCCATTCTTCACCACATAGGTGGAACGTTTTTGTAAGTAACCGCGTAGCAAAGTGTCAAGAAAATCTTGCCTCTTCGCATTTTTATTACGTAAACACGACAGATAATCCTAGTGACTGTCTGTCTAGAGGTTTATTACCTGACCAGTTGATATCGCATCCTTTATGGTGGCACGGTCCCGTCTGGTTACAGCGCCCTCTGGCCGAATGGCCAATATCTCCATTTAAACCAGTGAATTGTGAGCAGTTACCTGAAATAAAAAGTAATACCCTTACCTGTACTACCTCCGCCCCCGCCTCTATATTACACCAGCTTGCGCTGAAGTTCTCCTCCTGGAATAAAATATTACGCATTATTTCATATATACTTAAATTTACAAAATTAATACCGTGTAGTACTCGCATCATGTCTTCACATTTAAACGTCGCAGAAATGCATCTTATTCGCGGAGTTCAACAATTATATTTTCAATCGCTTTTTCAAGATATACATAAAAATAACTTACCTTCATCACAATTTCGTAAACTTGACCCCTTTATCGATGAAAGTGGAGTTATTAGAGTAGGAGGAAGATTATCTAATAGTAACTTACCTTTCGAAGCTCAGCATCCCGCATTACTGCCTAAACATGATCATATTACTCACCTGCTTATAGACAATTATCACCGTATGTACTGTCATACTGGTGCTTCATTATTGACTTCATTACTACGACAAAAATATTGGATTATATCAGCCAGAAGTGTAATTAAACAAAGAGTCCACTCCTGTAACAAGTGTTTTAAAGCTTCTCCATCAAGCAAGGCGCCAAAAATGGCGGACTTGCCTCCGTACCGCGTGCGTGAAACGAAAGCCTTTGTGCACACCGGCGTGGATTACGCTGGACCTATAAAAATAACGTTACGCAGACACCGTGGTCAAAAGTCACAAAAGGCTTACATTTGCCTATTTATTTGCCTTGTAACAAAAGCCGTGCATATCGAGTTAGCCACAGACCTTTCATCTGATATATTCATTTCTGCCTTTAAACGCTTTATATCACGGCGTGGACCGGTCTCATGTCTTTATTCTGATAATGGAACAAATTTCGTTGGTGCAAAAGCTCAACTCCATGATCTTATGCTTAATAACCGTATTGAATGGCATATGATCCCGCCCCGCGCCCCTCACTTCGGGGGGGCTTGGGAATCAAATATTCGAAGTATAAAAACCCATTTATTCCGTACAATCGGTTCTCAATTACTCACGTACGAGGAAATGTTAACTGTTTTAACACAAATAGAGACAATTTTAAATTCAAGACCTCTCTGCGTACTAACGGAGGAACCGTATCCTGAACCGCTAACTCCTGCGCATTTCATTATGGCCTCCCCCCTTTTGCACTTACCCATTGAAAACGTATCCGAGGACATTCGAAGTCTTAGACAACGTAAGCAGCTACTTGATAAAATAGTTAGCAGCTATTGGAAAAGGTGGCGTTTGGAGTATCTTAATACTTTACAGGTACGACAGAAGTGGCTTGCTAATACTGAAAATATAAAACCCGGCACGGTTGTGTTAGTACATCAAGACGATGTACCTCCATTGCGTTGGCCTATGGGCATAATTATGGAAACTTATCCCGGGACAGACGGTAGGGTACGCGTCGCGTTAGTAAAAACATGTAGTGGCATATACAAACGTCCCGTAATAAAACTTTGCTCTTTACCATCTCAATAATTTAATTAAATCTTCTCAAATTCTTATTTAATATATTACTAGGTTGAAAATACTACGTATTCTCAAGGCTGGGTGCATGTTCGCGCGTTTCTTTAATTTTATATATTTTTCGTAACAATTATAAATTTATTCTCATTATATATGCTAGTTCAATAATAATAATCGATACCTAGTGCTAAATTCATTTCCCTTGATCCTATCCTCTCCAATCACCGTCATCGTCTTTACCTCCGAGTTATAACAACCAATGAGGACGCTGGAAGATTATAAGAAACTTCAGAGCTGTCTTCAATCCTAACCGTCAATGTGACCTCCGCAATCAACGAGTAATTACGTGTTTAAGAAAATATTAATAAAATTGTTGTGCTGCAAACTGTAACATTTAAAGCGTTGCCGCTTACATAATTTTGAAGTGCTGTGTTATAGACAATATTTTAGTGTGTGTACATTGGTGACAAAGTGACGGAAGAAATCAAGGCGCCTGCACAGGACATCATATGATAGCCCACGACAAGACGGTGAGTCCTCAAATCCTTTTCGTTATCCCTGCCACACCTAGATTTCTCCTATAAAACCCACCAGTATGTTTATATTATATGAATTTATCAAGTATTGCTTTATATTTCCTCTATTCAATAATGCACCGCCTACTTATTTCTCGGTTCGCCCAATGGTCGACTGGTAGAGAACACCGTCCGGTGTTAAGTCCGCCAAATGTACATAGACCTGCATCCCATAGATATATACCTTCTTAATTTGAATACGACGTAGCCAGTAGACAAAGTATCAACATCATATCAGCCTGCTAAATATAGGCTTCCAACATAAACTGCCTTAAGGAACGGTCCCGAGCCACCTTCATTCACTACCTGCGATGCATTTGAGGTCGTTGTTCCATCTAGTCGCGGGTCCTCCTATACTGTATTTGCATGTACGGGGTCTCCGTTCAAAAACCTTTCTTCTCCATCAATTGTAGGTTCTTGGAGCTATGTGACCGATCCATTGCCATGATTATCCTTCTGCCTATGTCAAGTTAGTATCATCGTCTCCATATCAGTCTTAAATTGTACAACCCGCCACAAACTAAAGTTTCATCCCAATCATCTGGACGAGTGGTGGTCTTCCACCATGCATTTTTCAAGGCACTTTCTTCCACGCACAACCATTCTTTGGAATCAACTTCCAGCAGCAGTATTTCCGAACCGATACGACAACATAACCTTCAAGAAAAGAGTATATTCCTTTTTAAAAGGCCGGCAGCGCACCTGCAATGCCGTTGGTGTTGTGGGTGATCATGGGCGGCGGTAGTCACTTACCATCAGGTGAGCCGCATGCTCGTTTGCCCCCGGCGTTGTAAAAAAAAATATAAAGCATTCTAGCAAATGAGATGTTTACAAAATATACTAAGCTTGGGTACAGTGTGTAGTTATCCACGTGGATAAAACCGTGGGATGAACTAGTCCATTAACAAACCTGTAAAATATTAGTTCGTTGTCTCATCACAAGTTACAAAAGTTAAAGTTTTGAGACTTTGTACAAAAGTCGATTGCTTGTGTACCTCTTTTTTTTTTGACTACCGCCGCCCATGATCACCCACAACACCAGCCAGCATTGCAGGTGTGCTGCCGGCCTTTTAAAAAGGAATATATTTTTTTTCTTGAAGGTTATGTTGTCGTATCGGTTCGGAAATACTGCTGCTGGAAGTTGATTCCAAAGAATGGTTGTGCGTGGAAGAAAGTGCCTTGAAAAACGCACGGTGGAGGACCGCCACTCGTCCAGAAACTGGAAATTAGAAGTCAGTACAGGAACAAATCACTTGATAAAATCTCATAATATTTACAAACGTCCTCATGCTGTCTAAATTCATTGGCGATCGTTTCGATTTTTGGCCAAACATTGGCCAATTCGGCAGGACTGACACTGTGTGCTGTAGCCAGGTGCCAGTATACGCAGGCGATTAAAAAGCATGGCTTCTGCGGGCTCAACCTCCTATCATGGAATAGGGTCAGGTGTAGATACTTTTTCGCTACCAGATATGAAAAATATATATCCTCTAAATTAACTAGAGGTACAGTAAAAGCTGCTTTGAGTATCTTGCTTATATATTCACCTGGAAAAAAAAAAAACATTTACCAGAGGGAGACTTTGTACAAAAGTCGTTTGCTTGGGTACCTCTGTCTCATTCGTGTTTCAACCGTAAAATAGTTGTATTTGCATGGCTGTGTTACTGTTTGAAGGGTGGGATATGGCGTGAATTTACAGGGTACAGAGGAATAACATCTGAGACCTTAGGAATGGCAATGTATGGAAGGTAAAAAAAACATTATTATAGTCATAGACTACAATGACGGTTTTTTAATTCATGATAATGGAATGGTAACCCCGCCTATGCTAATGGTACACGTTACCCTTAGATAGGATTATATTATCTGTGTCCTTAGCATAGGCGGGGCACCAGTAATAGATAGGTGAGGATGAAAAGGCAGGTCAGTTAGCCCATCGTGATGAAGACTTTAGAGAGTATATTGATAGTAATAGAACGGGTAGTCTGTTAACAATCTCCCCCTCCCCCTAAGCACCTTCGTGCTTGTTAGTTATGCTTAGGGATTGTTAGTAATGGAGACTGAGAATCCCATTGCTAGCATTATGTCGACGTCCTCGCGGTTCTCCCTGGAAACTATCATGGTTAATTCCTGATGAATTCATCATGATAGACTAAATGGCCTGTTTTAATTCTTATCTGTCATTCATATTCCTTCACTGGTGCTCCGCCAGTGTATCCCGTTAGCGCGGGCGGGGTTACCATTACGACACCCACGGGAAAGGAAGGGGTGGCTTATTCTACGCCGGGACCACACGGCAAATTTTTTTTAATGAGTGAAAATGGAATGGTATCCCCGCCCGCGCTCTCGGTATACACCGACGAGGCACCAGTGGAAGATGATAGGTGAGAATGAATGCAGGTCAGTTGGCCCACCATGATGATTTCGACAAGAATAAAACATGATGGTTTCCGGGGGGAACCGCGTGGAGGTCGACCTGAGAGGGTATATTGCTAGCAATGGGTGGCCCCACCATTTAGACACCATTACTAAAAATCCTTTCCCCCCCCCCCCCCCACGGCCAATTATAATAATATATAAAACATACCACTTATAAAATATGCAGTACCCGAGAGATATGCTGAGACAGCATCGTCCGGGTATAGCCAGCGTGGCAAATACCATTTATTGTACTCATCACGATGCAGATATGTATTATTGATTCTATACCCTGCAAAAATAATGGCGAATATATAATCTACACTAATATTATAAAGAGGAAAGATTTGTATTTCTGTGTGTATGTTTGTAATGAATAAACTCAAAAACTGCTTTGCCCATTTCAAAAATTCTTTCACTATTAGAAAGCCACATTCACCCAGAGTAACATAGGCTATATTTATTGCTAGAAAAGATTAGGGGTCCTCAGTAAACTTCAGTAACGTAACTCAAGGTGTAAAAAAATGCTATAAAATATCTTTCATCGCGTGCGCTGCGGAAACTATTAGCAAAAATATGAATTTTTTTTAACCCCTGTGTTGTCGCATATTTCTGTAAAATAAAGTTTCTTTCTTTCTTCTTTCTTTCTTTCTTTCTTTCTTTCTTTCTTCAATAGAACAAAATTATGTTGTACAATATTGAAGAAAATATCAATAACTACAAACAACTTTGCGATACTATATGTCCAACTATTATCGTTATGTCACAATAATCACTGTTTAAAATGTTGTAAAAATGTCCACACGTGCGAAGCCGGGACGGGCCGCTAGTAGCACGAGTAGTATAAAAACAAAGAATATCAATCTGACTTTTTTTTATACAACTTAGAATGGCAAACAAGCTGACGGCCCACCTGATGGAAAGTGGTAACCGTCGCCTATAGACATGAGCAGTAACGTGGAAATAACAGAGTATACTGTTTCACCCATGATACCCCCCATGCGTTGCCATTCCTGAGGACTCAGATGTTATTCCTCTGTATCCAGTAAATTCACGCCATATCCCACCCTTCAAACCGAAACACAGCCATGCAAACAACTGCTTCACGGTTAAAACACGAATGGGACAGAGGTACCCAAGCAAACGACTTTCGTACAAAGTCTCCCTCTGGTGAACTTAAGTCGTAACTTAATTCCTAATTCTTATTTCATGAGTGCAGTACAAAATTGTTATTGACTTAAGATTGGTTTTATATTAATATTAAATTTAAAACTAGGCATGCTGGATTAATGAAAGATAACTCACCTAAGAGCTGAGCATCTTTATTGTCCTTAACCACCTGCTTCAACATCCAAGGGTTGACGAATACGTCATCATCAGTCTTCAAAAGGAACTCCACCTGCGGACACCGGTCCAAGGTCCACTGCAGCATGAGAGCTGTCTTCAGCGACAGATTATGGTAGTGCTCTTGAAAGTCGAAGATCACCAGATCTCCGTACTGTTTGGCTTCCACGTAATTGTCTACCTGAAGATTTTTTTTTTAATTTCAAGATAGATTGACAGATGAAAGTTTAAGCTAAACCCAACCTATTCAGGATTTTTTTTATACAACTTAGAATGCCAAACAAGCTGACGGCCCACCTGATGGAAAGTGGTAACCGTCGCCTATAGACATGAGCAGTACCGTAGACATAACAGAGTATACTGTTTCGCCCATGATACCCCCCATGCATTGCCATTCCTGAGGACTCAGGTGTTATTCCTCTGTACCCAGTAAATTCACGCCATATCCCACCCTTCAAACTGAAATACAGCCATGCAAACACAACTGCTTGCATGATTTAAGCGTACATAAGGACAGACAGACAGCGAGACGACTTTGTTTTATACTATGTACGTATTGATAGTAAAAAAAAAAGTAAACAAGTATTTATTTTCAAAATCATCAAATCTCAAAATCATTAAGAACTCACTAACTGCTCGTCAACTGTAGGTCCGTCGAGGCCCATAACGAAGTATGTCGGCTGGTATTTAGCCCACGTGCTCCTGATGACGCTCCTCTGCTCGAAGCGGGCGGGTGGGCTGGTCACAAGGACGAGAATAGGCACCTCCTCCACACCATCGCAAGGAGTCGATGAAGGCTCTATCAGCAGTTGTCTGAAAATAATACTATTATGGTAATTAAATTTACCTACCACAATTTTATCCGCGTGATCCCGGCATAGAATAAGCAACAGCTTCCTTTTCCGTAGGTGTTGTAATTGGCGACTAAGGGAGGGCAGCAGGGATGGGCAGCAGCGTCACTCTTAAAACATCTCCAAAGCCTAAGTGCAGTTGCCAATTTGCCTACCAAGCATGGCGACTATTGACAAAACTCCCCAAAGGGGAAGCTTATGTTCAGCAGTGGACAGTTAAAGGATGATAGAAGTGTATTCTGTATTAGCATATGTGATAATCTTCTTTGATGTATGTTTATAGGCGACGGTTACCACTTTCCATCAGGTGGGCCGTCAGCTTGTCCCCCATTCCAAAGTGTATAAACAATTACAATTTGCAATTAATAAACTACCAAGTGTCTAATCTTTATTACAATAATAAAAATGTGAAAGCTTGTTTGTGTGCCTCTTGGTGCCTTAACGGCCCGTCCCGATTGTTTGGAGGAGGGGGGGAGGGGATTGTTAGTAACGCGTACTAGTCCCCATTGCTAGTAAAATACTCTGTCAGGTCGACATCCACGTAGTCCCCTTTGGAAACCATCGCGCTGAACCCCACATGTATTCTTCACGGTGGGCTAACTGACCTGCCTTTTCATTCCCACTTATTATCCCTCACTGGTACCGAGCCAGCGTATACTGATAGCGCAGGCGGGGTTACCATTCTATTATCACTCATATAAAATTTCTTTTTTAAAAATTTCTTTTTTCTTTTTGTTGTTTTAATTTTTTATTTTCTTGATAATGGTAATAAAGGTCATCTATCTATCTAAAAAAAACCGGTTGGTTGAGCCGTTATAGGAAGTATGCCCATTTTAAATAACAAAATTGCGTACCTAGTTTTTTTTAATGGGTGATAATGGACTGGTAACCCCACCCGCGCTATCGGTATACACCGGCGGGGCACCAGTGAAGGATGATAGGTGAGAATGAAGCAGGTCAGTTAGCCCAACGTGACGAATTCAACAAGAATTGTTCACGATGGTTTCCAGGGGGAACCGCGTGGAGGTCGACCTAATAGGGCATATTGCTAACAATGGAGCTGTCAAGCTCCATTTTTTTTTATACGACTTAGAATGGCAAACAAGCTGACGGCCCACCTGATGGAAAGTGGTAACCGTCGCCTATAGACATGAGCAGTACCATGGACGTAACAGAGTATACTGTTTCGCCCATGATACCCCCTATGCGTTGCCATTCCTGAGGACCCAGATGTTATTCCTCTGTACCCAGTAAATTCACGCCATATATACGCTATATATATATATATATACGCTAATGGGACAGAGATACCCAAGGAATCGACTTTTGTACAAAGTCTCCCTCTGGTATAATCTCCGCCTCCACCTCCATTGCTAACAATCCTTCCCCCCCCTCCTCAATTGTATATAGTTATTGAAAGATATCACTAATGTACCATAGATACATTGAAAAGAAGATTGTACCAACTACGGCAATTGCTTTTATACTAGAACTTGGCATGAATACTAAGGATCATCCAGAGAATGAATTCGAAACGAATCAACTGCTCATTGAACTCAATTCCAATAACTTCCGCAAATTAGGGAGGAAAGGGATTGTTAGTAATGGAGACTGGGAATCCCATTGCTGGCAATATACCCAACCAGGTCGACCTCCTCGCGGTTCTCCCTGGAAACTATCATGGTTAATTCCTGATGAATTCATCATGATGGGCTAACTGGCCTGTTTTCATTCTCATCTATCACCCTTCACTGGTGCTCCGCCAGCGTATGCCATTAGCGCAGGCGGGGTTACCATATCATTTTCACCCATCAAAAAAAAAAATCCCGCAAATTTTCCACAGCCTCCTCGTAATTTACTTTTTTACAAAGGAGGCATGCGGTCACTCCCCGACGTCGTCACCCAAAGCACATGCTTTTAGACCCCGATATTGAATAATATTACCCCTTATATTTCTCTTTCTATATTTCAATATGGTATCGACTTACGACGGAACCAAGAAGGATAAAAGGTGAAGATGAAGCCAGATCACTTGGGCGACCGTGATGAATTCACCAAAAAAATATGGCAATGATTTTCAAGGGAACACCTATGTAGGTTTTTACCAGAGGAAGACTTTGTACAAAAGTCGATTGCTTGGGTACCTCTGTCTCATTCGTTTTTCAACCGTGAAGCGGTTGTGTTTGCATGGCTGTGTTTCGGTTTGAAGGGTGGGATATGGCGTGAATTTACTGGGTACAGAGGAATAACACCTGAGTCCTCAGGAATGGCAACGCATGGGGGCCATCATGGGCGAAACAGTATACTCTGTTATGTCCACGGTACTGCTCATGTCTATAGGCGACGGTTACCACTTTCCATCAGGTGGGTCCTCAGCTTGTTTGCCATTCTAAGTCGTATAAAACATGTAGGTGTCAGCAGAGTGTAATACCATAAATTAACTATCATAAGCAGTCGTTATGATATTTGGTATACACATACTGTATGGAATCGAGATTGTATGGAAGACATAGATGACTTTTTATTTTGATCAACGACCACATCTCGATCAAACACATAAAGGCGAGAGTAAAAGCTTTCCAGATGGCGCTGCCGTCACGAAAACAATTTAGTACTTGTTAATTTATTAAAAAAAAAATAATATAAAAACCAAAGTGATGCTTCGCAACAAGTGATAACAATCATGATAAATCTGTAATCTCACTCACGTCTTATCGATGTAATACTTTAGACTCCTGTTCCTTCTAAGGTGCTCCAGGTTTTGGTCTGGTGGTGATGGGAGCAACAACGCTCTGCTACCAATCTGAGCCAGCCACCGGCACACACTCAACATTGAAACTATGAATATAATAAAAAAAGTGATCACACTTCTTCGGCGACCTGGAATAATTTATTATGTTATAAAAACATAGTTTTTAGTTAGTTAAATTAGTTTAGATTACTAGATGTACACCGCGGCTCCGTACGCGGTAAATCAGTACATACTCGTACCATATTACCAGAGGGAGACTTTGTACAAAAGTCGTTTGCTTGGGCACCTCTGTCCCATTCGTTTTTCAACCGTAAAGCAGTTGTGTTTGCATAACTGTGTTTCGGTTTGAACTATTGAATTTACAGGGTACAGAGGAATAACACCTGAGTCCTCAGATATGGCAACGCATGGGCGGGGTATCAAGGTCGAAACAGTATACTCTGTTATGTCCATGGTACTGCTCATGTCTATAGGCGACGGTTATCGCTTTAAATCAGGTGGGCCGTCAGCTTGATTGCCATTCTAAGTTGTATAAATAAAAAATAAAAAAAATTACAACATACATTGATATACATAAAAAGCGAGATAACATAAATTATTTTAAAAAAAAATACATAAAGTTAAATACAATTTTTCATTTGTGCGTGTGCCATAACAATACAATATGGCCACAACTCAGTTTACTGCTTCGCCTTCAAAAGAGCAAAGCACTGATATTCTGTTGCGGCCAAAGGGAATAGGGTAAGAATAAAACAATACTACCAGATTATCCGTACAGTAAATAGACAGATACACCTACAGTAAACAGACGGATATGACAGTCTATCTAGCAGACAAATGTAACATAGAGGTAACTTGCTGGAATGTCTAACTTTTGCCTCTCAATTAAGAATTTTTGTAAATTAATTTTGAAACTGGACTTATACAAAAAAAAATACAGTTGAAATACTTCTTCTAATAAACAATATATAAATACCTACATATTAAGGACCCTTATCCAAAATGGGGTGGTTTTTTTTTGATGGGTGAAAATGGTATGGTTACCCTGCCTGCGCTAACGGGATACGCTGGCGGAGCACCAGTGAAAGGTGATAGATGAGAATGAAAACAGGCCAGTTAGCCCATCATGATGAATTCATCAGGAATTAACCATGATAGTTTCCAGGGGGAACCGCGAGGAGGTCGACCTGGTTGGGTATATTGCTAGCAATAGGATTCTCAGTCTCCATTACTAACAATCCCTTTCCCCCCAAAATGAGGTGGTTAGAGAAGAACAAACTATTATTATAGCATTGTAGAAATAAATTGGAATGTGTTATAAAGTAAAATAACTACTTTTGACACAATTTAAACACGGTTTATTCAACTAAATTTTAAAAAAAGGACTTTTCAATTCGGTTGTATTTGTTTTTATGTTTGTCACCTCATAACTCCGTCAGTTGTGAACCGATTTGGAACATTCTTTTTTTATCTGAAAGGATATATTCACAGATGGGTCCTATAGAAATATTACGAGAATAAGTCTAGTAGTTTAATTTTTAAATTATAATATCTAATTTTGTCACAATTTAAGTCGATTTTTTTTATGGAAATCATTCTTTTATATTATTTGCGAGTAGGCATATAGACTACTTACCAAATATATACAACGTTTTGATCTTCCGTCTCATAATTTTGCAAATTAACACTGAACTAAACGCGCGACGTTTAGTAAACACTTGTAGTTGGACAGGCATCAGAATGGCCGGCGTGGATATAAGGTTTAGTCAAATATACCAACGTACGACCATGAAACAAGCTGATAAATTGTGGTGATGATAAAAAAAAAACACGAAAGATTAGATTAGGACTCCCCTAAATAATGAATGTGCTAAAATAATTATTTGTCTTATGTACTTTATGGGATCCATTACTAGCAATAAACCGCGACTCCGCACGCATGAATTGCTATGAAAACGTGCAGTTTTCATCTGCAAAAACTACTATACTAAACTGTCTACCCCTATTAACAAATTACTAAATTAACAAAACCAGAGGGAGACTTTGTACAAAAGTCGATTGCTTGGGTACCTCTGTCCTATTCGTGTTTCAACCGTGAAGCAGTTGTGTTTGCATGGCTGTATTTCGGTTTGAAGGGTGGGATATGGCGTGAATTTACAGGGTACAGAGGAATAACACCTGAGTCCTCAGGAATGGCAACGCATGCGGGGTATCATGGGCGAAACAGTATACTCAGTTATGTCCATGGTACTGCTCATGTCTATAGACGACGGTTACCACTTTCCATCAGGTGGGCCGTCAGCTTGTTTGCCATTCTAAGTAGTATAAAAAAATGTATACAAGCGTATTTTTGTGGGGGAAAGGGATATTTAGTAATGGTGTCTAATAGTTCCAGTCCTAGTAATATACCCTATCAGGTCGACCCCACGCGGTTTCCACTGGAAACTATCGTGACAAATTTATCGTTGAATTCGTCACGATGGCCTAACTGACCTGCCTTTTCATTGTCACCTATCACCTCTCACTAGTGCCCCGCCAGTGTATACCGATAGCACAAGCGGGGTTATCATGTAATTTTCACCCATAAAAAAATACCTGTTTTCATCCTCACCTATCATCTCTCACTGGTGCCCCGCCAAGGTATAGCGACAGCGCAGGCGGAGTTACTGTTACGTTTTCACTCATTAAAAAAAAGTCTTTATTAGTCTTTTTGCAATTTTATGGAAAAAACAAACTTATGCCGATGTATAACAGAAATAAAATAATAACATATCCAAGTACCTACATAATTCTGACAGCGTCTTTCTGTTTACCATAGAAAAGTCTATATTTTTCGTAGAAGTAATACTATACAATCTTTACCATAGAAAATAAAATTCTTAATCTATGATAAAAATATAAAGCATATGGCAAAGATTGGCATAGGCGACGGTTACCACTTTCCATCAGGTGGGCCGTCAGCTTGTTTGCCATTCTAAGTTGTATAAAAAAAAAATGGACAAGCAAAATTTCTATACCTAAATTACTAGTTTAGCCTGTATATATATTTATATATATATATATTTGTATATACATCGTCTAGTTACTATTAAAATAGTAAGTTAGTATAAAATGAAAATTACTAGACCTTAAGATATAGCGTGTCGTCACGGTGGGCTAATTGGCCTGCTACCTGTAAAAATACCTGTGTTAAAATACCTGTTTTCATCCTCACCTATCATCCCTCACTGGTGCCCCGTCGGTGTATACCGATAGCGCGGGTGGGGTTACCATACCATTATCATCCATTAAAATACTACCATTGCCAATCCGCTACCCAAGCGTGGCAAGTACTGGCAAAACCCCTTATGGGGAATGCTTATGTTCATTAGTAAATAGTAAACGGCCGATATATTAAGATATAGCAAACTAGAAACAAAGTGACAGTCTAAAGAATGCTTCAAGCAGTCGTTTTACTGCTAGAGTTCCATTACCCGAGCTCTAGCCATCCCGAATTGAGTTGTAACCACTGGTTCAACGTTGGTATGTCACCTTACACTGTGATTCTCTAGAGATCAGTAACATTTGTGTTTTTTTTTATACAACTTAGAATGGCAAACAAGCTGACGGCCCACCTGATGAAAAGTAGTAACCGTCGCCTATAAACATGACCAGTACCATGGACATAACAGGGCATACTGTTTCGCCCATGATACCCCCATGCGTTGCCATTCCTGAAGACTCAGGTGTTATTCCTCTGTTCTCTGTAAATTTACTGCCATATCCCACCCTTCAAACCGGAACACAGCCATGCAAACACAATTGCTTCACGGTTGAAACACGAATGGGACAGAGGCACCTAAGCAATCGACTTTTGTACAAAGTCTCCCTCTGGTACCTGCATATACCTACATTAATAATATATAAGTTAATTTTAACGCATGATCCACACGTTTCGTGGCCACTATGTTTTGATGCTAAACGCTACAATGTGAAAACAATGTCACTTGCTCGCTGAAAATTTAATTTAAACAGCTCCAGTTCTAACTACCAAGTAGCTACACTAAATATGTAAGTTTACATTTCACCATTGTTTGAATTCGGCTTGGATATAGACGTGAAATTACTGGGTATGGAGGCGTAACACCATAGTGTTCAGGATCACTATAGTACTATGGGCGTCACATATTATGTGACAATCTCGAAGCTGTTCACCTAATTGCTAACTTTATCATCGCACCGCCTGCCATCGACGCAGAATCATTAGGCGTTCCATTGTTTCTGCCTACCCTAATGAGAGACAGACGTGACAGATATGTATTTATGTAGGATATATAGGTAAAGTTTATCGTGCCGTATCAGGTGGGCCGTAAGCTTATTTACCATTGTAACATTATAATAATTAGAACTAATATTTGTTTTTTTTTTTTTATGAAATTGTTGTCAATAAATAGTAATCTAGCTGTTGATTGTGTAAATTTAAATAAGATATTTTATTTTTAATTAAAATTGGATGAATTGTAGATTAAATGTTATTAAAACATTTCAAAAGAGTGGTAAAGAGATTTTTTTAGGGTTGGCAACGCGCGTTAACTATATGTATGGCGTGAATTTACTGGGTACAGAGGAATAACACCCGAGTCCTCAGGAATGGAACGCATGGGGGATATCATGAGCGAAACAGTATACTCTATTATGTCCATGGTACTGCTCATGTCTACAGGCGACGGTTACCACTTTCCATCAGGTGGGCCGTCAGCTTGTTTGCCATTTTAAGTTCTATAAAAAAAATGTCTATGAACGCCTGCACTACTTCTGGTATTGCAGGCGTTCATAGACTACTGTAACCGCTTACCATTAGGTGGGCCGTATGGCCGTATGCTTGTTTGCCACCTTAATTATATAAAAAAAAAAAACAAAGTGATTAAATTATTTAAATGTATATTTATTTTTAAAAAATATAGTTTTAAAACAAGTTAAGTAATCGATAAAAAAATATTATAATTAGACAGTTAGTAACTAGCGAGATAGTCTTTGGTTTTTTAACTCTAACATATGTAATAAACGCAAAACTTATATATATATATATATATATATATATATATATATATATATATATATATATATATATATATATATATATATATATATATATATATATATATATATATATATATTTACTATCCAAGGACACCGGTAGGGGAGGGAACAGGTTATACGCTTATACCACTAGGAATTCCTGGGAGAAACATAGACAAAAATCATAAAGATTGTGTCCCACAAGAGAAAATCGACTACAATTGTGACGTAATCAGTTATTTTGATGTAAAAACAAAACTTTTATAAGTTTGATAAAATTTCTACGGGACCAATCTGTAAGTACATCCTTTCAGATAAAAAAGGAATTTTCCAAATCGGTTTAATTAATACAAACAATAAAATAATAACAATAAAAAAAAACAAACGAATTGAAAATCTCCTTTTTGAAGTCGGTTAAAAATTGATTTTCTGTAATATATATATAACTAATGTATCTAAAAAAACTGAATTTTGCCTGTACTCTTTTTGTAATAGAGTTAAAACAGTAACTCCACCTGTGTTTGGTATACGCTGGTGAGGTACCAGTGAGAAATGGGAGAGGAAGAAGTCAGGTTTATCTATGATAGTGTCCATGGGTGTCTTCCAACCTTATTTTATTTCTATCACTAAATTAAATACTACATCTATTTTTATTCATCATCAGACGGCTGCTTGACCCAGAAACCCCATGGCGCGTAACCATCGTTCTTTGTGGGGCCCCGGTATACCTTTATTTGAACTCGAGCCACGTCATCTGAAATAACGAAAGGCACATAAAAATGACGCTCGTCTAAAATTTAACTAAAGCAAAAGACAGATTTTACCGACAGAATATTTTTTATTTTATTTTTTTTCATACAAAAAAAATCGAGCTCGAGAACATATACATTTTTTTTCTTTTATTTAACCGCTTATTATCGATATCGTATATTATTATCGATTGCTTGGGTACCTCTGTCCCATTCGTGTTTCAACCGTGAAGCAGTTGTGTTTGCATGGCTGTGTTTCGGTTTGAAGGGTGGGATTAACTGGATACAGAGAAAAAACACCTGAGTCCTCAGGAATGGCAACGCATGGGGGGTATTATGGGCGAAATAGTATACTTTATGTCCATGGTACTGTTCATGTCTATAGGCGACGGTTACCACTTTCCATCAGGTGGGCCGTCAGCTTGTTTGCCATTCTAAGTTGTATAAAAAAAAAGTAATTATCAAAATCAATTTAGAATATGCGAAGATATTGCGTAATATACAATCAAAAGATATAAAGAAGTAAATTGAGTTTCTGCTCCGTTTGGAAATTGTTTACAAAACCTATACACATAATAAATTATATAAGTACAAACATGTTTACCTTTTCTGTCACTAGCCTGGTTCCCTTCGTCCTCGTCATCGAACTCCTGAGGCCTGGCCGCCACCAGCACTAATAGTGATAACAACATTATCACGCCCCATGTACTGCTCTGTAAATAAGAAGGTACCACATTATCTGTTGTACCAGTGATACGCATTATTCGCCATGTGGTCCCAACATAGGATGGGCCACCCCTTCTTTTCCCGTAGGTGTCGTAGGAGGGAACTAAGGAAACTTGATAGTTGAGGGATGTACAGCAGCGTACCTCTTAAAATATAACCAAAAGCCAAACTGCAGTTGGCAGCCCGCATGCCAGACGTGGCGACTAGTGGCAAACAATAATGAGGAAGTCTATGTTTAACAGTAGACAGTTAACGGTTGATATTACTGGGGAATATCCTGGTAATATTAGGTAATATAATTTCACAAAATCTGATATAAGTTATTACTCATACCAGATTTTGTGAAAATCGTTAATCACTACACAAGAAGATCAAAGGAGAGAAGAGAAGTTAAAGGTCCCACATGAATCTCTCCTTATCTCATAGCACCAGCTTCATAAAGATAATGAAAATAAAACAGCTAATAGTGTAGCTTTTTATCTATAAGATGAAAGAATTTTTAATTTCTTAATTTAAAAAAAATAACTGATTAAATATTTTATTAGTATATGTTATTAATTTAATTAGATAATTTTTTTTGCTTCTTACAATATCCTAAATATAAAAAACTAAGGTAATACATTAGTGTTACTCAAATATGGAGCAAGTATCCATAGGCTTCAGTAATCTGTCTTGGCATAGCAGGAACAACCCCTTCCTTTCCTGTGGGTATTGTAAAAGAAACTAAGGAAATTTAATGATTGAGGAATAAGCTGTAGCGTCCCTCTTATAATATCACCAAAGTCCAAGTGCAGTTGCCAAACCATGTACCTAGTAACTATTGGCAAAACCTGGGGGGGTTAAACAGTTGATAAGGTTCCCAAGATAATAGAGTGGAGAAATAAAACATTTTTTTCCTTATCTTCTAGATACATTTATTATATTTCAGATGAATACTACTTATGTCTATACAATTTTATAAAAAACATATATACATAACATTTATACCTGCAATTAAATTATACATAATTTCTATAAACAATCTCTCAATGAGAAATACATTAGTAATTCATTCATTCAGTCCAATTTATAGGCAATACACATCACACTTTACTGCTTCCATCAGAAATGTGATCAGACTCATTCCCACTATCCGTTGAGACAGTTTGAGCTCTGCAGGTTGGCTCGTCCTCCTCATCCTCACTCAATGAAGAACAATCTGACAACTCTGCATCTATCCACAATTTAGCTTTTTTCTTTCCTATAGGTTTATCATGTTCTGCCTTCCGTTTTGTCCCACCTGAACTCGAAGTCCCAGCAGCCTCCCAGCCAGCATCTACAGCTGCACTCACCCGCTCCGGAAGATCCTGACGCTCTTTCTCATACATAGGACTCAAGTTCACATCGATTTTTGGTTCAGCAATTAATCGCTCCAACTTCTTTTGTTTACGCTCGGCTGCCTCGCGTTCGCGATCCTCTTGACCTTCTAGCCATTTTCTCAAACGTTTCTCTTCGTTTATATCCCGCAGTCGTCGACCAGACAGATCCCTACAAGCTTCGCGATTTGTAGTCTTCTCTATTTGCGCACCAATGGCTCGCAACATGGACCCAAAACCGCCTTTGCCTCCAACGAGTTTGGTGCACACTCTAACCACATTATCGAGGGTGGTAAACTCCAAATCGCAGGAATGAGTCCTCCCGTTAACAGTCACGAACAAGTCTTGTGGAGAAATATCATAACGTTGTGAAATCTCAAATTTCAATGACGCCACATCTGTGCTCTTGATGTTTGGTACCAAAGTATTTTCAAAGTAAACTAAAAACATTTTGGTGACTATTTACTATTGTTTAATTCCACAATAACAATATTTTGAAATAAATTCAATTTTATCAATAAGGATTATAAACAAACATGAAAAGACGACGCAACAGAAAAGAATACGACTTTTGACACACAGATTAATAAGTTTTTTTTTATAGTTTTTACGGCACTGAGTTCCAACTCTTTAGTGCCTGCCTACCTCCATGCCAAAAACCTCTAAAACTATTCCAATTATTTACAAATCCCCCTAAAAAATATCTCTTTTGGTAATCTTAATTGGTAATCCGGTGCACTATCGGTATGTACTGGTAAGGCACCAGTGAGAGATTATAAGTGAAGATGAAAGCAGTCCAATTGGTTTATTGTGACAAATTAATAAAACAAAAACTATAGTTTCCTTAGCCAATAAGGATTTATTGCTAGCAATAAATTTATTAGACTGCATTACTAACAATTGACCACTCCCAAAGGTAAAATTTTGTTATTGTTTAATATAAAATAGTAACTTCGACTACATTATTAGTATACGCTAGCGAAGTCAAGTCACTTGGCACCAGGATGAAGTCGCTCTGACAATATATTTGTAACAATTGAACTACTAATCGGCATTATTATTATTGTATCCCATTATTATATTCCTTCAATTCAATAATACACTGCCTACTTATTTCTCAGTTTGCCCAATGGTTAACTGGTAGAGAAGACAATCCGATATTATGTCCGCTATATGTACAGTTTCACTGTGCATTAAAGTTTAATATATAAATAATTAATAATCCTTTCTTCCTCGGAATTTAAAATGATGTCAGTTGGTTGTTCATAAAAAATGTATGTCAACAATGTTATTATCTGCCAATTTTCAGAAACAATTAAATAATTCTGGAATTTCCGTTTGATTATTTAAATAATAGAATACCTTGCATATAAATTTATAATTAAAAACTAAATACCTACAAATTAAAAAAAAACAAATTTTCAGGGGCAGCATAATAACTTTTTACTTAATTGACGCTTTACTTCACAAGCAGAGCATTTTTATGACGTCACAATGCTCTTATAAAAAATTGCCTATTAATGTATTTATGTACCCTAAATTCGTCCCTGTATTTGTATTAGAGTAAATGTGTATGTAAATATGTGAGTTTAGGTCTACCTTTTAATCTAAGAACAAGATTATTCTTAGAAAGTTAATTCCTAATGCTTAGTATACTTCATTTTAATGCTGTGGCAGTTTGTATTGATTTCTGACAGATACACTATTATGTGGTGCTTTGCCATTAATCTGTGCTGTTGCTATCCTTAGTCTATGTCCTTACATAGACCCTATTTAATCTATATTCTAAATAAAAACAAATAATAAATAACGACTTTATACCTCTACGTTCGTTTATTATACTAAGTTTATTTCCATAGAAGTTTCTTTATTAATAGAAATAAGAATAAAAACAATATATAAATAACGCAAAACATAATTGCTTATCTAAAATCACTTACCTTGAAAAACATTTTTGGTGACTTAAATTATTGCTTAATGCTAGTTCACTTCAATTCAAACCGTAATCTGTACTAACCATAATTACAAACAGATTGATCTTAAATAGACTACTGTAATCTTTCTTTTTCCGTAACATCGCCTCGCTGGTCTCTAATTTCACGCTCTAATGAACACAAAATTCACCAAAGAAAGTGAAAGTGGAATATCTCTCGTTACATTTTTACATTTTGCAATTGGTAATTATAAAATATGACATAATACTTGGACATTATCAAAATTAACGAACATTAAGAATACTAGACTTACTTCTTAACATAGAAATCTGATTGTTAAATTTTTTATTCTAAATAATAATAATAAAAAGAATTATGTTATATTTTTATAGTCTTTTAATAATAGACGGTTTATTTAATTATTGCAGATCCTTTATTCATTACTCAGACAGCCATTATTATACAATACTATTTAATCAACCAATCCGTGTCCACCTCTAGTGATGTCCCATATACACTAGTGATGGATCTTACAACAAATTATTACCAGTTGTAGTTAATTTAAGTAAACTACAAAACCCCCTAATAGAGGAAAGGACTGTTCAGCAGTGGACAGTTAATAGTTGATGATGATTTTTTTTTTTTTTTTTTTTTTTTTTTTTTTTTTTGATGAAAATAGTTACTTAATTTAAGTCTATCCACTTAATTATAAGAATATTCATTCATCTCAAAAACCTTGTTACTAAGAGATTGATTGTTGGAAATTAATTATCAGAAAGTTATTTTAAATACCAGTCATCTGTTTGGGTAGTTGTGTTCTACTCACGTTTTCTTATAAAATAGCTTGTGCTTACGAAGCTTTTACCAGAGGGAAACTTTGTACAAAAGTTGATTGCTTAGGTACCACTGTCCCATTCGTATTTCAACCGTAAAGCAGTTGTGTTTGCATGGCTTGAAGTTGAAGAAGTCGGTTTGAAGGTTGGGATATGGCGTGAATTTACTGGGTACGGAGGAATAATACCAGAGTCCTCAGGAATGACAACGCATGGGGAATATTATGGACGAAACAGTATACTCTGTTATGTCTATGGTACTGCTCATGTCTATAGGGGACAGTTACCATTTTCCATCAGGTGGGCCGTCAGTTTGTTTGCCATTCTAAGTTGCATAAAAAACCAAGCTATTTTAAATTACAAGGTACGAAGACATTTTACCATAGCATTCAAAAAAGGCAACACGTCAGGAATACTATGGACGTCTATTTTGTAATGTACCTATTGCTCATGTTTGTATATAACTATTACCAATTTTCATCAAATATAATATGAAAAAGCAAGGTATTTTTAGTTCAAATACAAAAATGGTAGTCACTAATCAAACCTTGATAAAATTATTTGACCACAACACAAAATGAAAATAGTAAATCGAAAGAAATAAGAATTGAAATGGGTCATATAAAAATCACGCACAATGTACTTGATGTTACAGGTTACCATGAACTATGATAACCGTTTACCTTATGGCAGGTCGTATGATGATTTGGCACTTCAATAGTATTTCTTTCATACTCAATTATTTAAAAATAATAAATTAATTTTTTTACAAAAAAAAAAAATACAGAAAGACATTTTACAATTAGTAGGGTAAGTAACATTTGAGAGCGTTTGTATTGAAACTTACTAGTGGCTAGTATAGTATTATATTATCTGTGCTAGAGGGTAGTCATTGTCATCATATCAGCCGCTGTCTACTGCTGAACATAAGCTTCCGTAAGAAAGGTAGGTAGGTAGGTAGGCCAGTAATTACTACACTGGACAGGTGGGTTGGCAACCGCAGTTAGACTGGTAATGTTTGAAGAGGGACGTTGTTGCTCTACCCTCGACCATTATTTTCCTTAATCGCTTCTCACTCACGACTCACGAGAAAAAAAGGGGTGGCCCTTTTTATGCTGAAACCACACGGCATCAAAGAATAGTAAAGTCAATTAATTAATTTAAAAAAGTTCTTAAGTTAGCAAATTATTAATCACGCTGCAAAATATTATTCAATATTTTGATTTTGGTACAGAAAAAAGTAATTGAAAACTTGTAAAGTAAATACAAACCTTTTAGTTTTTATAATATTTTTTTCTGTGTAATATTAATAATTTTATTACTAGGCAGTCTAAAATCTAAAAAAATAGGCATATAGTTATTGTATTTGAATTTATTTCAATTATTTTTAGTTAAATTAAAATAATTTAATAACATTTACATTGTTATTGAATAATCTATATCTATGGTTGTATACTTAACAGACGTGTTTTGTCTATAGATGCCGCCATTACGTTCTGCTGTCAAATATGTTCAATATCCAATAAAATTTGAGCTTTTTAAAATTAACAGGAAGTCGCCCATAAAATACAACAGAAAACTGTTGGCATATAATAATTTAGATTTTTCATCGTATAATGGCTCAGAATATCAACCCACATTATGCGTCGTCTTCAAATCCAGCGAAGCAGAACGAAGATACGATAAAATTAAAAGATAATCATGCTGTGAGTAAACGGTAAGTAAAATGTTTAACACAAAAATTTTGCCTCCACTATCTGATTTTTTGTTAAATTCCATTATTTCTTTGTTCGTAGGCTGCAAAAAGAGTTGATGGAGCTCATGCGATGCGCAGACAAAGGGATTTCAGCATTTCCCGAATCGGAGAACCTATTCAAATGGATTGGAACGATCAGCGGCCCCCAAGACACTGTATACGCCGGCCACAAATACAAATTATCCTTGGAGTTTCCGAATTCGTACCCGTACGCCCCACCCGTAGTGAAATTCTTGACTCCTTGCTTCCACCCTAATGTTGACACGTGTGGCCTAATATGTTTAGACATATTAAAGGATAAATGGACGGCTCTATACGACGTACGTACTGTGTTACTCTCTATACAGAGCTTGCTGGCAGAGCCGAACACGCAGAGTCCGTTAAATCAGCAAGCCTCCTACCTGTGGCCCAATCAAACGGCCTATAAAAAATATTTAGATGAATTTTATAGTAAACACAAAGATTCATAGAATATATGTTCAGTCTATTATATTTTGATTTGCATTGTATTTTGTGTTGTGGATGTTTGAATTATGTCTGTAATGGGATAGGAAGTTGATGGCAGTGTTACCAATGTATAATCAAAAGTACAAATATTTGATGTGTTTTCTTTAATCTCAAATTCTCATTGTTTGGAGGCCTTACAAAACAAATGTCTATTTTTACTTCAAAATTTATAATGGCTCTACTAAAGTTCTGTCAATTCTCTATTCAGGACATGTATAGTGATATTATTAATATCCTTTAATTATCCATATCTGAAATTTTGACTCGAAATTTATCTTCGCTTTCTAATACATAGCTGTAAAGTTTCATTATAATGTCTGTTAGTATATTGTTGTATAGCCTGTCACTTCACATCCCACGGTTTGGTCGTGATGATGGAGTATATATGGGGAGATCACTGACAATTATAATTATTTAGTGCAATTCAATGGTATTTTATTCACTTTGGAAACTCCTGTACTTATAAACATTTTTTATATGACTCGAAATAGCAACCAAGCTTGTATAGAGCATCCCAATTCACTGTGGTGACCCATAGTACCCTACATATACATTGCTATTCCTGAATACTAAAACATGTTTCCATACTTTATAATTTCAATACCTAATGCCATCCTTTGTAGTTTACACGAAAAAACTGCTTGCATAGCTATTTTTGTTGTGGCAGTGAAATAATTAGGTATGGAGGCATAACACCTTAGACCTCTTGGATAGACAAAGCACAACAAGAGTCATAGTGTTAAGTTGAAGGTGGCGTACAGGTTATACCTATAGGAGACAGTTTTTTTTAATGGATCATAATGGAATGGTAACTCCACCCGCGCTTTCTGTATACACCGGCGGGGCACCAGTGAGGGATGATAGATGAGGATGAAGTAGGTCAGTTAGCCCATCGTGACGAATTCAACAAGAATTGTTCACAATGGTTTCCAGGGGGAACCATGTGGAGGTCGACCTAATAAGGCATATTACTAGCAATGGGGCTGTCAAACCCCATTGCTAACAATCCCTTTCCCCCTCTATAGGAGACAGATACCATACCACATTTATACCAGATTATTATCTTATTTGAATTAAAAAAAAAGGTGATAGAATTGTTTTCAATCTTTATCTCAGATCACATATAGAGTCGCAAACCAATTTTTCAAGATTTTATCAACATAATTGTAACTACATACATGTACTCTGTACATGGAAATATTTAAAAAAAAAATATTATAATATTTTTTTCTTAAATATTTATATAATAAATATTATATAGTTTATTTGAATACAACATAATGAAAACATAAACAAGCATTGAATTGACTGGACCATAAGACAGACTGCTGATGTCTAATAGCAATCCAAATAAAAGATTGGTTAAATATTTTACTAAACTAGACGTTATTTCGCTATTTAAGTCCATATCACTGGTTTGATTAGAATTATTTTGTTTAATTCCGCTACCATTAGTACGCGTGCGACTGCCAACACTCGAATATTGACTACTGTTATTACCAGAAGTTCTACAACCTTCAATATCAACCATCAATCTCCGACTGTCATTCCGTCTACGCACCTTTTGAGACACGTGTTTCAACTATACACGTGGCTATCCGAAGCCTAGTGTCAGCCATTAGGCAAAATAATAATAATAAATAAATAAATAATAAATCTCTTTATTTTCAGGTATATACCCATAGTTTACAATTACATTATTAATTATACAAACTATTATTATTATTTTTAAAATACACATTAATTATAAAATACTAATTTAAATAATGGCAACTTTAACTTTCGTAGTTTTTGGCGCCATTTAGTTTAACACTAGGCTTCGAGCTGCAATCTATTAATTGAAACACGTGTCGCAAAACGTGCGTACGTACTTAACAGTAACTGATTAATTGGTTGAACGTTTCAATTTGTGACTAAATTCACTTTGAAAATGTTTCTATTCTCCAGAGGGAGACTTTGTACAAACGTCGATTGCTTGGGTACCTCTGTCCCATTCGTATTTCAACCGTGAAGCAGTTGTGGTTGCATGGCTGTGTTTTGGTTTGAAGGGTGGGATATGGCGTGAATTTACTGAGTACAGAGGAATAACAGCTGAGTCCTCAGGAATGGCAACGCACGGTGGGTATCATGGGCGAAACAGTATACTCTGTTGTCCATGGTACTGCTCATGTCTATTGTCGACGGTTACCACTTACCATCAGGTGGGCCGTATGCTTGTTTGCCACCTCAGTGGTATAAAAGAAAAAAATATTTTACAGTTTCTCAGTTTAGTTCAAAACAAGTTCCTTGGGGCATAAACAATAATACATTTAAAAAAAAGCTGTTTAGATTCAGTGATTGGTACTTACTATTGCATGAGATTGCACATTTTTACAATCCTCATATTTTACAACCACATTTTAGTGATAAACAATAATCTTTTAATTCTTTACACACATTTAAAATTAATTTCGGTACGTAACGCGACGGATTTCAGATAAACAGTATTTATATACCTACTCTTTAGACAAGTAATAAAGGAGCATGTGATAAGCACGATCAGAGGGAGACTACAAAAGTCGTTTGCTTTGACACCTCTGTCGCATTCGTGTTTCTACCGTGAAGCAGTTGTTTGCATGGCTGTGTTTCGGTTTGAAGGTTTTTTTTTTTTTTATGAATGATAATCCCGCCTGCGCTATCGGTATACACTGGCGGGATACCAGTGAGGGATGATGGGTGAGAATTTTTGTTTTTTATATAACTTAGAATGGCAAACAAACTGACGGCCCACCTGATGGAAAGTGGTAACCGTCGCCTATACACATGAGCAGTACCATGGACATAACAGAGTATACCGTTTCGCCCATGATACTCCCCATTCCTGCGTTGCCATTCCTGAGGACTCAGATATCACCATGGTACTTGGGAAAGATCATGTTTTTATTTAAAAATGAAAGGAAATAATTGAAATAAATTTTATAATCATAACAGATTATTACAATCGTTCGTTCGTTTTATACTTTTAACAAGTATATAGAATGAAAAAAATAAAATAAATGAAATCGAAATAATATGCAATATGTATTAATTACATCAGTAAAGGTACAATATATAGTTAATTCCTGTCTACAATTAATAATTATTATATTTTTGTTGCTGACCATACAATTCCATACATAACCATGCGCAAATATAAATAGACAAATAATAACACCTACAAGTACAACATTATTTGAACTTAACTTTATAAAAATAAAGACTAGAATGTGCAAGTTATCAACTTATTTTAATATATTTATACAATAATACACACTGTACACGTAACAATCATGATAGACAACAATTTTTACAAGAACTTATGGTAGATATGCACCTGGATATAGATCTACCCTCTATTCATAAAAATTGAAACGCCTACGAACTTATTTTAATAAATAGACTTAGATTATATAGATAGAGCATCGAGTTTTGGAAACTGGTCAACTTTTTGACAGCTAATTGTCAAATCGACTCGTTAGAAAAGAACTTCACTGTGACATCATAATTAAAGGTGACAAAACAAAACCGAATTTGATTGTGACATAACCAGTTATTTTAATTGAAAAACTAAATTACTAAGCGATTATGTTTCTATGGTACAAATCCGTAATCAACCATCTTTTCAGATGAAAAATAAAATTCTTAATAGATTTACAACTGACGGAGTTATGAGGTAACTAAAATAAAAAAAAAAAAAACTGACTCAACCGAACTGAGCATCTTCTTCTTTTTTATAAAGGGTTTAAGCTTTCTTCAGTGCCGGCGATGCGCACGTGACACCACTAGTGTTGCAGGCGTCCATAGACTACAGTGACCGTTTATCATCTCACGAGCTGTATGGCTTTATTCTTGTTTGTCACCTCCGTGGTATAAAAAAAAAAACTGTCGACTGCATTTTCAACGTATTAATTAAAAAGGTTTTTTTGAGGGCGGATTTATTTATTCTCTTATTTAAATTTGATATTATGATTATTAAAGAATATAAACCAGTCAGGTTATAAAATTATAGTTAAATAAACTCTGTGAAAAATAAAATAAATAATAGACACGAGTTATTTTTAAGTTACAAATATGGGATTAGACGTTAAAATATTCCAAGTATACTGAAGCAAAAACAAGCGCAAAACCATCTTGTAAAAAGTATAAAAAAGCATTTATTTAAAATGCCATTTAACTATATCAGAGCCTCCGGTCAAACTGTTTATAATTACTCCTCTCCATCCAAAGGTTGAATGGAAGAGATCGCTCTTAGCGATAAGGTCGCCCATTGTTTTATCAATGTAATATTTTCTTGTAATTGTTTATATTTATAATAAGTTTACTATTGTAATCTTATGGAGGAAACAATAAAGGTTATCTATCTATCTATCAGTCTAAACCCCAAATATAATGGATAGGTAAGAGAAAGACAAATATAGTAAATTACTGCAGCGGCCAGCAACTGAGGCATTGATAGACGAAGGTGAAAATGAGGGCCGAGGCATAGCCGAGGTACACATACGTGAGTCCATCAATGCCTAGTTGTGGCCAAGGCTTGTATAGTACTTTTCTCAAACAATGCGCGGAAATCAAAAACACAATTTTACTTTTTAAATTAAATAACGAATATCGAACAATAATAATTTTTCACGCGCCATAATGTTCCTTGTATTTTTTCAATAAACAGCTTTCTATTTGCAAGCCAGTTTGAAATTTAAATAAAACCTTGTATTAGTTAACTCCTCGGTAGTCATGTTTCGAAGTAAAAGGTCATTCCACTTTTAAATTACAGGACAGATATGAGTTTACATAGTAATTTATCTGGCCGCAACACACGACAGATATGGATTTTCATACAACTTTTGCCGGCCGCTGCCCGCATGTATCTGACTAGTACGGCAATTTTGATTTATCTCGAAGAAGATTGTCAAAATAATGATCACATTTCCAAGCATGTTTGAGAAAAAAAATAATTTAAATATCAAACATCAAAAGCCTAACTTAATTAAAAAATAAATACCAGAATAACTCACTCAATAGATCACAATTCGTATTAAAATCTTTTTATGTGTTAGTTTTTTTTAAGTTATTCATTTTAAAACAAAATACTATTATATTACAATAGGAATGCTATATTGTAAAAGAGGTAATATGATACTACCCACATTTAACTATGTTGAACAAAAGTATCTTGGACATTGTAAATTTGAATGTGTTTATATTCGATATTGTAATATCTTTTATAAATATTCAAGTCAAAGGAAGTTATTTTACTACCCACTTAGATCAGTGTTTTTCAATCTCTTTCACGTCGCCACCCCCTTATTATGTACAAATATCTTGCGACCCCCTTAGTATATAAAAATATCTTGCGACCCCCTTAGTATGTAAAAATATCTTGCGACCCCCCTACCCTGCACGGTTTCGAATGTGTACGAATGTTATTATAGTACAATTATGAATTCCGTACAGTTTTATTTATATTCACAGCTAGGTATCGATAAAATAAAATAAATAAAATACATAATACTTTATTATCTAAAACAGACATGTAATCGATGTCTGTTATACACTCCTCGCAAAAATTAAGGGAACATAAAAATTATTGAAATTTTTGGGCGATATTCAACAGGCTGTATTATGTATTATTAATTAATTTATTTATTTGAAAAAAATAAATACGCTGAAAATAATTTTTTTCTAAACTGTTGATTTTTTGATCACTCCATTGTATAGGTCTCTTAGCGTGTTTATTCAGCATCAAAAATCGCGATGGCTCCGACCATTTGTCCGAGATATCGAACTTTGAATGCAAAAGCATCTTTTTCCATTCAACTGCTAATATCTCTGGAACTACTGGTCGCACAGCAAGCGGGCGCCGAGTTTTTATTTGCATAAAATTTCCAATTAAGAATTGCATGGAAACTGGAGCTCAAAAATTTTTTTCACCAAAAAATCTGAAAACTAGAGTTTTCGACTTCCTTTTTTTTAAATTTTCACTTTGAAAAACACTGACTTAGATAAAGGCTCGGTCTGTTTCGGTGGATAGTAGATCTAATTAAATGTTATTTATTATTCAATAAAGATTTTAAAATAAAAAAAAAAGAAGCTAAATAAAATATTGTGTGACTCACGTCGAGTTGTCAGTCTTGTCTCTTGCCATCAACGGCAATATATGCGTCGCTTTGTTGTTATAAATTTCTAGTCGAATTCGCGGGTAAAAACTAGTGTTACAACGAATGCAAACAAAGCACTAGCAATACCTAATATTGTTATATTAAATTCTATTTAAATTCTCCAATGCCTCAATTAAGGGGAAGGGATTGTTAGTAATGGGGACTAAGGGACCTATTGCTAGCAATATAGCCAACCAGGTCGACCTCCCCGCGGTCCCCTGGACACTATCGTACCGAATTCGCAGTGTATTCATCACGATGGGCTAACTGGCCTACCTTTTTCATTGTAATCTAACATCCCTCACTGGTGCCCCGTTAGCGCAGGCAAGGTTATAGTTCTATTATCGTCCATTAAAAAAATACTTAAAAAATATAAATAAGGAGGAAGGAGGGGAATTGTCACTAATAATGGCTGAAAGACCTATTGTTAGCAATAGGGTGTATTGCTAGCAATAGTGTGTATTGCTAGCAATAGGGTGTATTGCTAGCAATAGGGTGTATTGCTAGCAATAGGGTGTATTGCTAGCAATAGGGTGTATTGCTAGCAAGTGTGTATTGCTAGCAATAGTGTGTATTGCCAGCAATAGTGTGTATTGCTAGCAATAGGGTGTACTGCTAGCAATATGGTGTAATGCTAGCAATAGGGTTTATTTCTAGCAATAGGGTCTATTGCTAGCAATAGGTCTTTCAGCTCATCAGGTCACCATCCACGCAATCCCTCCTGGAAACTGACTTGACTTCACCTTCACCTACAATCCCTCATTGATACCCCGCCAGCATATACCAGTATCGCAGGCACAGTACAGATACAATTTAATTTTCATCCCACTAATTAATATCTACAACAACGCCCTCTTCAGACCGAGAGGCCTCAATTACAAACAGCTAGTATGCTACGTCACTCCCTACCAAGGGCGGTAGTACTGAGCTGTGTAACTTGTCAATTTATTTAACTACGATATATAAGGCATTTAACTAACCTATATTGGGAACTAACTCTTCACTATTATCAATAATATAACTAATACAATTATTGTGGCGGCCAATATCAGTATACAATGCATTTTCCTATTTTTCCTTTGGTATCTCTCAGCTTTTTGTAACTGCTTGAAGCCTTCGTGTACCTGCAAAGTGTAGGAAATAATATTTAAATCAAATGTACGTTTGTTATTTTTTCACACAAAAATTACTGAAAGGATTTTAAATGAAAGGATGTTAATGAGTAGGTTATATCCTAACTTAGTACATAGGACGAATGAATTCGCGGCATGCAGCTAGTTTGAAAATAATTAGCCACCTGCCCAAACTTCGGATTGCTGGATCATTCTTATCACCATCACAGCCATTATCTGTCCACTGCTGGACATAGCCCTCCCTCATAGACTACCAAAAGGAACCGTCCTAAACCGTTAAATAATTAATTAATTAATTAGTAATTAAATACTAATTAGATATATTTTTAATTAATAATCAAATAATAATTAATAATATTTAATTAATTTGGACAGAAGGGGAAAAATGTTAGGACACTTGATACGACACGACGAACTTATGAACATTATAATAGAAGGTAAGATAGAAGGAAGGAGGGGGAGAGGGAGACCGAGACATAGTTACATCAGGCAGATCAAGGAAGGAGTTGGTGTCGTGTCGTATCAAGAGGTGAAGAGACTCGCTGACAATCGTAGTGAGTGGCAAGAGCTCCACCGACAAGAGCGCAGCTCTTAAATATTAATTAATACTAATAAATACGACAGTGACCAATTTTGATTATAGTTTTCGATTTCATACAGTTTACTTCTGTATTGGTCGCATAACAATTTTGTAATAATTGGCAGTTTTTTTATTCCTATTTTTTTATTAATGAATAAATATATTTATTTACAAAAAACATGGTAAGTATATAGATGTTAACAATAGGTATAACTCCATAAATTTCGCCATAATTAGGCATGTAACATTTAAAAACCTCAAAAGTATAAATATTGATAGAGTTAAGCATTAGAAGTATTAATGTTATAAATAAAATATATATTGCGGATCAAAATCTATTCCTTTACCCCTTATTTGACCAAAATATAAATTGTTTTTATGGAAAATCTTATTTACATACCTGTACTTGAGTCTGTTCAATATTATAGTCTATTCGGTCCAGAACCGTCCCCTGTTCGTGCACCATCTGTCCGAGGTCTTTGAAGATGTCGTTCAGGTCCATAATAGAACGAACAATCTTATTCACCTCTTCCTCCCTCTCGGCTACCATCCGCGTATTCTCTTCCTGCATTAACAACATTTGCTTCTGACTTAACGCTGGCTTCTGGAACATATCATCGACCTGGTCGTCCTCTATATAACCTTGCTTTTGTGTTCCCGACGTGCTCGGTAAAGAAAATAACAGATCCGTCTGGTTATTTGAAAGTCCAGGCAGCAACTCTGCATTGTCATTCAAACTTAGTTCTTCAAAGTTTGGTAGATCGAAGTACGCATTGGATCTCTCTTCTCTGGTCGTCAATGATTTAAGATAGTTGGACTGTGCCGTTCTGAAGGTTATGCTCAGATCCTGTAGAGTCGTTACGAGTGCTAGAACTACGTTTGCAGCTAACTTCTGCTCCGTTTTGTTACCTGAAAGATAATTTTTTTTAATTATTAATTAATAAATGGAATGGTAACCCCACCTGCGCTAACGGTATACGCTGGTGGGGCACCAGTGAGGGATGACACGTGAGAATGAAAAGACAGGTCAGTTAGCCCATCGTGATGAATACACTTGGAATTCAGCACGATAATTTCCAGGGGGGACCGCGGGGAGGTCGACCTGTTAGGGTATATTGTTAGCAATGAGAATGGTAATTCACATTGTAGTATATTAGAAATATTTATATCTAAGGTTGCCAACATTGAAAAATGTAACTTGGCTTCTCTCTGTCGTGGCGTCTTACAATTAAAGTGGATATTCATTTTAAAAACAGTTTTTTTTTTTATTATAAAGAAAAGTTATTTAAGCGTGCAAAGCACATTTAATGCTTTACAACATTATACACATCACTAACAATCCCTTTCCCCCTGCGTAGATGGGATTTTTTATTGATGGATGAAAATGGTATGGTAACCCCGCCTGCGCTAACGGGATACGCTGGCAGAGCATCAGTGAAGGGTGATCGATGAGAATGAAAAGAGGCCAATTAGCCCATCTAGATGAATTCATCAGGAATTAACCATGATAGTTTCCAGTGGGAACCGCGAGGAGGTCGACCTGGTTGGGTATATTGCTAACAATGGGATTCTCAGTCTCTATTACTAACAATCCCTTTCCCCCACGCGTAAATACCATACTATTATCACTGGTACGTGCTGATGTCTTCAACAGATCGTTAAAAAGTCAATTTCATATGAACAAGCTTAAATTATTTGATTTTATTTGCGAATAATAATAATAATATAATTATAGATAAAAGAGTCGTTGCGTTGATCCACTTGAAATTTTGAAAGTCGTCCGTTGACACATACAGCCAGTTTTGTTCCCTTTTCGTAACGAGACGGACCAATCCTGGGGCACATCCGGTGTTGCTATCATTCGCTTGTTACTGTACGCGACATAACACAACCCAACGATTAAACTACCAGCAACATACCGTGTCGTACTTGCGCCTTGATGGCGGTGAGGTGGGTATGGGCGTGCGTGAAGTGGCGGCCGATTTCGGCGGTGAGGCGCGCAATGTGCTGCTGCTCCGTCGTGTCGTCCAGCGCCGGCCGCCGGATCTGCCGCTCGTGTCGCGACTGCAGCTCTGACAGCTTTGTTCGTAACCTGTCAGCACCATCACAGATATACTGTTTTTTTTTTTCTATCTATCCTTTTTTTTATACAACATAGAATGGCAAACGAGGTGACTGCCCACTTGATGGAAAGTAGTAACCGTCGCCTATAGACATGAGCAGTACCATGGACATAATAGAGTATTCTGTTTCACCCATGATACCCCCCATGAGTTGCCATTCCTGAGGACTCAGGTTTTATTCCTCTATACCATGTAAATTCACACCATATCCCACCCTTCATATGAAACACAGCCATGCAAACACAACTGCTTTACTGTAGAAACACGAATGGGACAGAGGTACCTAAGCAATCGACTTTTCTACAAAGTTTCCCTCTGGTAAAACTAAAGTAAGTACTACTGGTTATAAAGTTAATCATATTTTTTTTATATTTGTGGTGCAATAAAGAATTATTATTAATTAATATATGTTTGTACAATATTCTATACAAACCTTGTTATAATGTAATGTGCCTCTTCCAATGCATCTGTCCAGGGTGGTGGTGCGTTTGACTCAGACCTCATCTCCATTGCGGCCTCAGCATTGTGTGATGCTCTCATCAACCTCACTCGTTCAGAGTCATTCTGTGTGTTAAGATGAAAGTTCAAATAATTATTGGATATAAGAAATTAATTGGTTAATCCTTTGCCAATCTTATATATTGGCATATAAATATAAATTATACTTTATTTTTATCACTTAGCCTATCGTATTAGTAATATGTATGTATATAATAAGTAGTAGTACATGTAAAGTGGGGGGAAAAGGATTGTTAGTAACGGAGACTGAGAATCCTATTGCTAGCAATATACCCAACCCTCTCGCGATTCTCCCTGTAAACTATAATGGTTATTTCCTGATGAATTCACCATGATGGGCTAACTGGTCTGTTTTCATTCTCATCAATCACCCTTCACTGGTGCCTCCGGCGGTGTATACTGTTAGCGCAGGTGGGGTTACCATACCATTTTCACCCATCACAAGAAAAAGTACATGTAAAGTTGTTTTAACATAGCCAGCCAAGCTTTACAATATCACCATACAATTCATACACCATTCATTGTTCTAAAACTTGGTTCACATTAATGAATCAAATATTTTGAGTGCTGTTCACAACACAGCTGTGAAATTAAATATATGAGTAAACACAACTAAACACAATATAAAGAACTTCATACAACATTAAAATTATACATACAGACATACATATCTGTCACTACTGTCTCCCATTAATTTTTATTTATTTATTTATTTATTCATTAAAAATAATTACAACATTATGACAGTAAAAGCCAAATATGTAGCCAAATAAAATATATAAACCTAGTGTGCTAATATACAAAATTAGAATAAAAGTATTTAACCCGACTCTAGATATTTTTAAGATATTTTCCAATATCTTTGGCAGGGTGCTACTAAAAATATCAATGATGTTTATAATATTATTTAATAACCATACTGCGTCAGTTAAGGGAGTGTGCTGAAGTAGTTTAATTCTGACTGGTGGGACATTAAATATAACCATTAAAATGTTGGTAATATTTTATCAATTTAAGAATTACTGCACTCACATTTGTTTGGGGGCCATTATAGTATGCAAGCCCAGCCAACCTTAACTGTACCAAGACAGAAACCAGTTAAAGGTCTAAAGGCCAAAAGCAAAGCAATTTTATAATAAATAGACTGTTTTTACAAATTATAGCTTGTAATTTTACTTTGAGTAAATATGACAAATATATATAGTATTGTAGATATAATAGAAACAAATAGGTGCGAAGTGCACGCGATCTTAAAAAAAAAACATGTTAAATGAACTATAAAACTAGGATAGTACAATAGTGTATACAGCTAAAGATAAACTTAGTGCTTACTTGTAGCATACTTCAAATTTTATACTAGTTACTTAAAAAAAAAAAACAAATATTTAATAATAATTGCATCATTAACGAAAAAATAATAGTAAGCAATCAATAAGACCAAAATACGCACCTGTTCAGAGAATATATGCCGGCTATGGATTGCATTGTTACGCATCAACACAAACACCTCAGTTAAACTTCGAGACACCATTTTTCTCGATTAACAATAGGTAAGCAAAATAAATCACAAATGCAATCCACAAAAAAAATATTTATTTTCTTAGAATTCGTACTTGCAATTTAGCAATAAATAGACCCGACCCGACACGACACCTGTCATTTGTCATGTATGTCACTGTCATTCTAGGATTTATCGATGACATTAGAGATTTTTTCACTCTATAGGCTTGGAAACAAAAGCTCAAAGCCAAAAATAAATATTACACAATAATTATAATTCATATGAAAATAATAGTTTATTAGTATAATATATGAAATAAGCAGTAGCTGTCTATATTAATGTCACTAATTTCCATAAACTAGATAGGATTTTGAATTCATAAATCTACAATTAAACGTTAGAATGTCAAACTTGAAATAAAAAAAAAGTATAACCTATGACCTATTTATTTATATTATAGTATGGTGTGATAAATTTGAAATTTAATATAAACAATTGTTTTTATTATTAGAACTTCGTTTAGTTAAATAAAAGATAAATGTGATACACCGAAAGACCTAATAATAAAACTTGATTGTGTAATAACAATTTTTTATTCAACGAAATGAGTACACCGGCGTACGATCCCGGTCCTGAGCAATTCCAACAGTTTCCGTCTAACAGAATCATAGTTATCCATCCTGGATCATTATATGTGCGAATAGGAAGGGCCTCTGATCTGTTACCAGTAAAACAATTACACTGTATAGCAAGAAAACGGCATCCTGGCGGGAAAATATATAGAGACCCATTTGTACCTCCCAGCGTCCCGAAAACGAAGGAATTGATTGACGAATTAGAAGAATGTCGACTGCAAATATCGCACACGCTCCAAACGTACGTGCAGTCCAATGGTGCCAGAAGATACGCGACACCGCCACAACAAATTGCCGCTTTCAATCGGCGTTCTCTTCCTGAGAACGTCGGTGAAGGCGAACTGTGGCCTCAGGTGCAGTGCGATATCGTTATCGGCGATCTAGTACTCGACATCGACCCTGAATTACCATATAACATACACTTTCCATACAGAAGAGGTGATTTCAACATACATTCTGAAGTTGGAGGTTCTATATCATCTGTATTGAACGATCTGTACACAATATGGAGTTCTATAATTGAATATAAGTTGGGTATACCTCTAATAGAGTTAGTTAAGTACAGGTGTGTGTTACTAATACCAGATATTTACTCAAGGAATCATTTGAAGTGTTTAATGTCATTGTTATTAAAAGATCTAGGGTTTGGACACTGTTTCCTTGTGCAGGAGAGTGTTGGAGCTACTTTTGGAGCTGGTATAGGTTCAGCCTGTGTTGTAGACATTGGAGACCAGAAAACTGCAATATCCTGCGTCGAAGACTGTATTTCACATAAAACAACCAGGCTGAGAATGGATTATGGTGCTGGAGATGTATGTCAGACTTTATCCTGGATGTTCCATAAAAGTGCATTTCCATATAAAAATTGGAATGAAAACATTCCACGAGATGTCATGCTGATGAGGAATTTGTATGAAGACTTCTGTCATGTCAATCTCGATGTGTGCGGTCCACAGGAGAAAACATTTCTAGTTGATCATCCTGGTGATATCATCAACAAATACACATTACAGGTTGGAGATGAATGTATAATATCACCTTTATCTTTGTTTTACACTGATCTCTTGAAAATAACAGGACCTAAAACAACAAAAATACAGAATCGTCAGCCCAGTGACCCAGAAGATCCTTTTGATGGAGAGTTCTTGAGGGAAACTGGAAGAAAGAGAGAGACAGCAGATCCAAGTGCAAATGAGAGTCAGCAGTATGAAGCTGTGAATGAATCACAGCCAACAACAAACCAAGATGAGGATATTGTTGTTGATGCATTAGAAGGAGGTCCTGGAGATGCTGTCTCACTGGCTCCTGGCCAAGTCTTGGCACTAGACGCTGCAATATTACAAAGTATAGACCGTTGTCCAAGTGAGGAGCTGAAAAGAAAGATGTACAGCAATATTTTAATCATAGGCGGTGGAGTTAAAGTTCATGGACTTTACTTGTGGCTTCAGAATCGTTTGGCACTGCAAATCCCCTACATTTACAAGACTGAGCAGTTAGAAATAGTGACATCACCCAAAGACATAGATCCAGCAAGTACAGTGTGGAAAGGAGCTGCAGTCATGTCCTGTTTGGAGTCTGCCATTGAACTGTGGATCAATCAAAGTGAATGGAATAAGTTTGGGCTGAGGATATTGAGAGAGAGGGCTCCTTTTATATGGTGATAAACTGGCACAAAATTATTATATTGTAAATGTAAATATAGCTTTATATTAGTTTTTTATTAAAATAAAATACGGCATATTTATTATCTTATTTCTATATTAAAGGCAGGGAAGCGATAATCTTTTTTTATAATGCTTAGAATGGTATAAAAACCTGATGGTCACCCTGTAAAGTGGTGACCATAGCTTATAGACATGCACAGTTGTGTTATTCTGTGATCTCCATGTATTGTTAACTTATGCATTGTCATTCCTAAAGATGAAAATGCTTGTATACCTCTGTAACCTCTAATTTCACTGCCATATTCCATCCTTCCAACTTGAACACAGTCAAGGTGGGACAGACGCATTTTGATGCAGATAATTTTTGTAGTCTCTCTTTCTCTAATAAACTTGCTTCAAGAACTCGGAACAACCAAAAAAAATTATTTATAATTTTAATTTGTATGGTATAAAAAATTATAAAATTAAAAAAATACTTATTAACTTTCAACCATAGGATTTCAAGTCATAGGAAATAATTTTAAGGAGCGATAACAATGAAAAAATATTTGTTATAAAAAATGACTTTATTAAAAATAATGTAAGTTATACCTACTTGGGTACGTACATTTTGGCAATGACTTTGAGATTCATTATGTATTAAATTAATTACTAAAAATAGTACAATATTATAAAATTATGAGTAATATCAAATTATTACTTTGCACTATCACAACATTACATGGCAGTCTCATTTTAATTCTTAAAACTACTTCAGGTAATTTCTAGTTTTAACTAAATTAATACTGATTAATATCCATTAATATACCAAATCAATCGGAATGATGGCGGTAGGCTTGCTGCCTGCCACATTGGATTATATAATCGTCGAAATATGGGCATAGACAAAAGCCTCTAATTAATGCCTCATCAAGGATTACAGGGCTTATTTAATATCTATTAATTATATTATTATTAAAAACGTATTAAAATTTTTTATTTAAAAAATGGTAATAAAAAGTAAATTTATATATATTTTTAAACATTACTCATGTTTTAAATTCGTGTATTCCCGACTAGTTTCAAATCCAATAGGAGTCCTTACAATCGTGAACTGCGCTTATGAATAAGGTCACCCATTGAGTTCGAAACTAGTTGAGCATACCCAAACTTAAAATGTGAGTAAACTGACATATTTAAGTACAATACAACATGACTCACGACAGTTATCATTCAACAGATTTATAATTAACATAATAATTATTTGAATGCAATTATATATTTTTTTCTATAGATAGATAGATAGATAATTTATTTGCATTACATACAGCACACAAATTACAACATATATACACAAAAAAAAGCCGAGATAACATAAATGACAAAAAAATACACAAAACCAAATGCAACTTTCGTTTGTGAGTGTGCCATAGCAATACAAAAGCTATAGCTTGAGTACCAGTTATACACAAAAAAAAATCCAACATTTATATTTTCAAATTCCCGAATACAAAGCAAGAGCAAGCATGTTTAAATTCAACAATTAAATACATAAAATATTCAATTTGAATAATTTGAAAATTAATATGACTACAAACAAAACACAGACAGCAAAACATACTATCTGTTAATTAATGAAAAAAAAAAAAAATCATACACGTGTTCTGTTAGACGTCACAACAACTGGTCGATATTAACTTGCAAACATAAATTTATTTATAAACTGTTTACAATAACTGAATAATTCATACGATTATTGGGTGATAAAAACCTTCGTGCCCTATCACTGGCTGCCAGGCCATTTATTTTCATTACGAATTCATTTAGATAATCAAATCGAATAAAGCTGACAAGGCACCACTAATTATCATAGTTTTCACTCGTTAATACTTATTAAAATATTCATAGATTTGGTCGCTCAACGAAATCGAAGTATCTTTGATTGGTATCAAAGATTCACTGATAAGACCATACACGTATGTGAGAAGGGAGGGCGTGTTTTCCATATCGTCCCTATGGTCACCCATGGTGTGGTCATATATAGAGTTTTTTTATAAAAAAAAAAACCCGTAGCACACCCAAAAATATATAATCTATGATATTAATCAATGAAAATCTATAAAATGTGGCTGACGATATGATTTGATATGTATATTTGTTTTTTTTTTTATTTTGATATATTCTGAATATTTTTTTTATCATTTTTTTTTTATAAAATGTAAATATTTGCATGCCTACATCGTTTAAAGCAACTAAACAGGCGCCAAAATAGTACCACGTGTCTTTTATAATAATTTTAAAACTGTTTGATGCAAATGAACTAAAATAATTATAATTCACGAGTTACAGTATAGTATTAGCAAAAATCCCGGACATTTGGGCGAAATATGGTTTTCCCCCCGGACACTTATGGACAAATATTTTTTGTAACAAAAATAAAAACATTGCTATATAAAAACAGGGTTATTGTGGATGAATTTGTAACTAAGATTTAGTTTAATTAATCACCTACCTATAACAAAAATGAATTTCCCCTGACAACAAAAATGTCCGGGTTATATCCGAATACTTCAAAAACCCCTGCCGGACAACCCCCGGACGCCCTTCAAAATAGGACAAATCCGGGGCATTCCGGACGGATGGCAGCCCTACTTGTAGCATTAAATACGTCTTGTACACATACATGTACTAATGAATGAATGAATAAATAAATATATATCCCTTTCCGACCCAAGATTATTTTTCTTTCAGATTAAATATATTTTCGTGTTTTGGTGCCAAGCCATTTTGCCGGCACGCACGAGACTACTGCACCACGTAACCGCTAAAATGATTTCTTATTGGCTGGTTTAGAATCTCACTATCATGTTATTTCAGCTTCGTGCGTAAAAATGAATTGCGCGTGGTTTTAGAATTTTTCAAAGTTACAACTCACGCCCGTATCGTTCAGGTCTGAAAGGGATATAGACAACGCCTGTAAAAGGTAAAACTAATAATATTCTAAACATACAGTAGTTAAATCAGAACAATTTCTTTTTACTTTTAAAGATAACCACAGCTTGATGTTAGTTAATAGTTAGTGTAGTAGTTAATAGTACACCCACAGTTGAGAATCCCATTGCTAGCAATATACCCAACCAGGTCGACCTCGCGGTTCTCTCTGGAAACTATCATGGTTAATTCCTGATGAACTCATCATGATGGGCTAACTGGCCTGTTTTCATTCTCATCTATCACCCTTCACTGGTGCTCCGCTTGCGTATCGTGATAGCGCAGGCGGGGTTGCCATACCATTTTCACCCATCAAAAAAAAAAAGAAAAGTACACCCACAGTGTACTATTAACATTTCGATCAAACCTACCTTAACTCTAGTATTATTTATTAATAAAATTAATTAGTTGTTCTAAATAGGAAATTTTAAGTAGGAAGGAGGGAATTAGTTATGGTGGCTAGCCCCATCGCCAATATAGCTTTACGCGGTCTCACTGGAAACCATCGTGGTTAATTCATAAAGAATACACAACTGGGCCAACTAATTTGACTTAATCCTCACCTACTATCTCTCACTGGTATCCTGCCAGCATATACCAAAAACACAGGCGAGGGGGGGGGGGGGAGAAGGAATTGTTAGCGATGAGTTCTAACAGCCCATTGCTAGAAATGTTACTAATCATTCGACCTCCACGTAGTTCCCCCTGGAAACCTCGTGGTTATTTCTCGTGGAATTCTTCATGATGGGCTAACTGACCTGCTTTCATTCTCGTCTATCATTTCTCACTGGTGCCCCACCAGCGTATACCGTTAGCGCAGGCGGAATTACCATTTCATTATCACCCATTAAAAAAAATAACATAGGCGGGGTTGCCATTTAAACTTCATTAAAAATTACTATATAAGTATCAAAAAGTAGATAAAAAAATGCACACTAAAATTAAACTAAACCTAGTCAACTAATAACATTTAACACTTGATCGTTAACTTTTATAGACACAGTGATACCCTTATCACCTTTCCTCAAAGTCGGATGGAAGAACGAATAGTACAAAACCATAACAAAAATACCAAATACATAGGGCGTTATACATAAAACTAAAACCGTATAATAGTACGCCGTTGCCTTAATTTGTTCGGGCGCGTAAAAAAACCACACGAGGGCACAGACAATATTCTGCGTTACACAGATCGTGTAATAAATTGCGTATCTATACCTAGTTCTGCCTTCCACAGACAATATATATGTAAAGAGATATACCGCGCCGAGTGCAAAAGAGAAGGCAATCTCGGTCAATTTGTTCTGGGAGCAGAAGACTGGTCGTTCGTACAACTGTATCCAGGATGACATCACGAGGATGTGGAGGGAGCAGGCTAAGATCGTCCAGTACGGGTAGAGGAAGGCGATCACTGCTATTGACAGCACGCGGCTTACTGTAAACAAATATAGAAAAAAAATAGAACAAATTTCACAGAAAATGTATACCGTATTGAAAATATTTTGTATCAATGATTCCCTCTATTAAAATAGACTACTAAGGTATTCTTTTTTTATGTATTTTTTTTTTGTGGATGTAAATGGTATGGTAACTCCGCCTGCGCCAACTGGATACGCTGGCGGAGCACCAGTGAAGGGAGATAGATGAGAATGAAAACAGGCCAGTTAGCCCATCATGATGAATTCATCAGGAATTAACCATGATAGTTTCCAGGGGGAACCACGAGGAGGTCGACCTGGTTGGGTATATTGCTAGCAATGGGATTTTTAGTCTCCATTGCTAACAATCCCTTTCCCCCCTTTTCTATGTATTAGGTATGTGAAATATTTTTTAAGATTAGGGTACGATGGGGCTGACATATCTTTTATAGGATAAAAACCTCTAAATAAAAAAGATCCAAAAAAAATTGCAAATATTTGAATTTAGAATGTCAGATCATGTGTTAGTAATAATTACGATTAGATTTTGCTCTACAAAAAAATGGAGCAACTTCAATTCACAAAATTACTTTTTTATACAACCTAAAATGGCAAACAAGCTGCCCACCTGATGGAAAGTGGCAACCGTCGCCTATAAACATGAACTGCACTGTACACATCATAGAGTATACTGTGACGCCGATGATATACTTCACGCGTTGCTATTCCTAAGGTCTGTGTATAATAAAAAATATAATATAAATATAATGTGATACTTACAGGTTAATAAATAGTGCCACATAGTCTGCATGCCGGTGCCCAGCCACGTGACGTTCATCTTGTCCTGCTGGGCGAACCTCACAGCGCGCTGGTACGCAGCTAAACACCACCCCATGGTCACCATCGATGATGTGATCGACAGGATCTGGTGTACTGAAATGTAGATACAATCATTTGATTTCAAATTTTTTTATACAACTTAGAAAGGCAAACAAGTTGACGGTCCACCTGATGGAAAGTGGTAACCGTCGCCTATAGACATGAACAGTACCATGGACATAACAGAGTATACTGTTTCGCCCATGATACCCCCCATGCGTTGCCATTCCTGAGGACTCAGGTGTTATTTCTCTGTACCCTGTAAATTCACTTAATATGGTAAATTTATATACGACATGGTATGCTAACATACAGAATTGGTCACCTATAGACAGGAACACCACCATGGGCATCACAGTTTTTTTTTATACCACTTAGATGACCAACTAGCGTACGTCCCACCTGATGGCAAGCAGTCACCGTAGCCTGTACACATATAGTTTCAAATCATTGTTACCGGTAAACTGCCAGTGTCCCTGGAACAGTATGCTGATCTGAAGCACCAGTTGCGGCGCCGCCTCGAGGAAGCACTCGAAGATGCGCATGAGTGCCGCATCAGCGTCTTCCTTCAGCATCAGGCTGTAGTAGAGCCGCTGGGAGGCCGGGTCCTTGTTGTGCTCCGCCCGCCGAGACTTGACCGCGTATCTGTTTAATAAATGAGCAAATGCGTTATACGATTACATCGCTATGTTACTGGAACCGATTATGAGATTTTAAATTTAACCATCATATATATATATATATATATAAATCTCTCTTATTATTTCCTCCATAAGATTACAATAGTAAACTTATTATAAATTACAAACAATTACAAGAAAATATTACACTGAGAAAACAATGGGCGACCTTATCTCTAAGAGCGATCTCTTCCAGCAAACCTTTGGATGGAAAAGAGTAATTATCAAGAAAGCTACGTTATCAGTGAAAATATAGGCTATATATTATTTTCTTCTATTAAATTAAATTCTATCTATTCGTGCAAAGTCGAGCCGGACCGCTAGTTTTAAATAAAGAGTTTATTGAAATTCCCGTGAGAATAAGACGCGAATAATCGCATTTATTGAAACTCCTGTGGGCATAAGACGAGACCGTGTAACCGGAGGATAAGCTATCTCTATCTTCACGCCATATTCCTAGCGAGGAAGGAAAAAACCACAAAAAAAAAACTGCAGATTCAACAAGTAGATTTCGTTCTAAAAAAAGGTCAAGTACAATCATAGTAAAACCATTTATTTAAATTTAAAAGCCAAACTACTAAACTGATTTTAATAAAATCTCTATGGGGCTAATCGACCAGAGGGAGACTTTGTACAAAAGTCGATTGCTTGGGTATCTCTGTCCCATTCGTGTTTCTACCGTGAAGCAGTTATGTTTGCATGGCTGTGTTTCGGTTTGAAGGGTGGGATATGGCGTAAATTTACTGGGTACAGAGGAATAACACTTGAGTCCTCAGGAATGACAACGCATGGGGGATATCATGGGCGAAACAGTATACTCTGTTATGTCCATGGTACTGCTCATGTGTATAGGCGACGGTTACCACTTTCCATCAGGAGGGCCGTCAGCTTGTTAGCCATTCTAAGTTGTATAAAAAAAAATCGAAAAATATATCCTTTCGGATAAAAAAAAAATCCAAATCGGTTTACAACTGACGGAGTTTTGAGATAAAAAACACAAAAAAAAAATACAACTGACAACCTTATCGTACGGTTCACCATCGACAGTCGGAGTTCACCCTCATACCCTACAGCCTAAATGGTCGCGTACAGCGCGGTTTCAGATATGTTTCCTCCCACGAACACTCAGGTTATGGAATGAGCTCCCTGTCGAGGTTTTTCAAAAGACTACAGCACGGGGTTCTTCAAAAGGGGGCTAAAGAGGTTTCTTCAGGGTCGACAACGCGCGCGTAATACCTCTGGTATTGCAGGCTACGGTAACCACTTACTATCAAGTGGGCCGTATGCTTGTTTGCCACCTCAGTGGTCTAAAAAAAAAACCTCATTTTTTTAAGTCTACCAATAATTCAATGACTATGACGAGGCGTAACAAGTACCTAAAACCGTTGCTAATTCACCTCTATGGTGACGAGACACACGTAGAAAAAAAAATCAATTCATAAAAAAAACATGACGCTACACAACTATTAATGAGCGTTTTTGGCAACGAAAAACAACACAAAAAAAAAAAACTAAACGAGTTACCTAATGGGTAAACACTGGTGGATCCGTTTGGTATTTTTTTATTAAATTAAACAAATCGATTTTAAGAAATCTTCAATAACAATCACAAATATATATTCGCCTATAAGTTATTATATTAATGCAAGGTAAAATATGAATCGCATTAGCTTCTTGCACGACACTTCGTATGAGCGGGGGGAGAAGGGATTGTTAGTAATAGGGATTAGTAGCCCCACTGCTAGCAATATACCCTGTCAGGTCGACCTCCTCGTAGTTCCCCCTGGAAACCATCGTGATTGATTTATTGTTAGATTCGTCACGGTGGACTTACTGACCTGTTTTGATCGTCACCGTCAGACCGTCGTCAGAGATGACAATCTCTCACTGGCGCCCCGTCAGCGTATACCGATAGCGCAGGCGGGATTACCATTTCATTATCATATAATCTATTATTAAAAAAAAAAAAATCAGACAAACTAAGCCCATTTTTTGTTAGTAAGTATACTTAAAAACCATATTTTTAATTACTGATAACGATCTAGTCCTCTTCGCAAACATTTTCACGAGAGTTTTATCCAATTTATTTCCAAAAACATGTCCAGGATACTGTTGCCACTCCCGCGTGTTCTTTGTAAGAACTAAACTGTTTTTTTTACGAGCTAATGAAATGATTGCAAGGGAGACTGCGTAGAGGTAGATTTGATGGGCAATATGGTAGAAGTCCGAGGGGTAAACGGAGGTAGGCGAAAAAACCACAGGGGGATGAATATATTCATTAAATATAATTTGATTTTCTGTAAATTGGCTATGTTCATGTGTTTAACATTATATCAATTTTTTTTATACAACTTAGAATGGCAAACAAGCTGACGGCCCACCTGATGGAAAATGGTAACCGTCGCCTATAGACATGAGCAGTACCATGTACATAACATAGTATACTGTTTCGCCCATGATACCCCCCATGCGTTGCCATTCCTGAGGACTCAGTAGTTATTCCTCTGTACCCAGTAAATTTACGCCATATCCCACCCTTCAAACCCAAACACAGCCATGCAAACACAACTGCTTCACGGTAGAAACACGAATGGGACAGGGGTACTCAAGCAATCAACTTTTGTACAAAGTCTCCCTCTCCATTGTTCTATTATGCTCTTGAATGGTGAAAGTACTGGAGCTGCTTGCCTACATATTTGTTTCTATACCCGTAACATTAATAAGTAACATACGTTAATAATAAATGCAGAGATTAGGACATGTTTATTTTGTAAATATTTGCAAATGTTCCACTACACAGCTGTAAAATCATAGCAAACACTCATATATCCATCACGCCTGTCTCCCATTAGGGTAGACAGAAACAATAGAACACCAAATACTACTCTACACTCATCAATCGTTTCATACACACTCGCCGATTACGGATACTTTTAATTTGGCCCTTCTTCAGCACATCGCCAAACACACTGTCTCGGCCAATTGATAGTAAAAATGCGAATTTAGACTATCTTAAGGATTCGCTTTCCGTGTAGTCCCGGCATAGAATAGGCCATCTCTTCCTTTCCCGTGGGTGTCGTAAGAGGCGACTAAGGGAGAGCGAGGTATGGGCATCAGCGTCCCTCTTAAAACATCTCCAAAGCCTAACTGCGGTTGCCAATCCGCCAGCCAAGCGTGATAACTACTGGCAAAACTCCCTTAGACGGCTTACGTTCAGCAGCGAACAGTTAAAAGCTGATATTACGATAATGAAGTATACACTTTATTTTGAAAATGCAAATAAAATATGATTGCTATGACAAATATAAATTCATAGTTAATTTGTAGAGAATGCCCTTAACAATTTCCGTACTCTATTATAGATGATACTTTTAAAATGTTTCGCCCATATGAAGTCCAAATGATTGAATTGCTTCCTTGGTATTTTATAAATATCTATACAATTGGGCAATCTGTTGTACAACTTGTCAACATCATCAGGGTGAGCCATCCAATCGCTGTCGCTGTAAAACAAGGATACCGGAGCCGTGATTTTCTCCAGGGGATAACTCGGTGGCACCTCTTGGCCATACTTCTTTAAATTCATCTCTGCACCGTAGTCGTATTGCTGGAACTCTCCTGACACGAACTCCTGGCCGTAATGAGCCACCTGCTTGACCGCCGCACCGGACGGCTCGTGGCTGTAAATCACTGGTAGATTTGTTGCATTCATTTCAGCAAAGCCAATACCCACTGATAGCATCAATACGTTGCTGCACAACAACTCCGACAACGGACCCAGCCCACACACCAGAGTTCGAAGAATACGCAACAGTATATTATCCGATGGAAACTCATAAACACCGAAGATCTTCAATACCGCGTGAATGAGAGGCGTTCCAGGAGCAAACAGACGAACAAAGGGTGATTTCACTTCGGTCATGTAAGCGTTCGGAGACAATGCAATCATGAGAGCCACTTTTTGATTATACTCCGGTCTTTGAGAAGCCATAACAAAGAAGGTGGTCGTGCCCTGCGAATGGCCAATGTAATATAATGAGTTTTTATTGGTCTTTCCGAGACTGTAGTCGATCATAGCCGGTAAGTCGTAGCTGCCGATTTCGTGCCACGAAAAATCCCAGAATACCGCCTCGGAGGGTTGAAGGCTGACGTGTCGCCGCGAGTGCTTGTTTCCTCTGGCATTCCCCAACCACACGTCGTACCCGTCGTTAGCTAGAAGGTAAGCCAAACCGCTTTTTGGTCCCGCAATCACGTAATCATCAGCGCCTCCGAACAATCCATGCATTAGTAGTACGACAGATCCGTTCCTCGGTATCCGGAACATCTTTAAAATATAGCCATCTTCGGTGACTACATCGTGCTCTTCGAGAGGATATCCATATTTTACGATGAGTTCTCCGATACTAAGTATCGTATCCTCGTTTCCCAGGCCCGCTTTGTACTCTGTGAGTATACGATCAGAGGATGGGCCAAATAAATTTCTCTCGTTTATGATACTTGGTGATCCGTGATAGCCAATCGTCCGTGCTACGGCGACTGGAATTCTGCTGAAGTTATTGAGTGTGCCCGCGAAAATATCGCCGGCAGCTTTAGCAACTGCTGCGATTAGGGGTTGCCCTGTTAGTATATTGGTTAGTTCTCGGGTAGATGCCGCTAACGTCGGGAACACCCTGTCGACGAGTTGTCCGTGGCAAGCACATATTACTAACATAAAGAGCAATGAATTTTTAACGTAACCCATTGCACGCGGGCGTTTTAAAACAGCTCTGCGTTGAACTAGCCGCTTCCCAAAATCGACCTTGATAATCGGCAGTTTTTATCACACACAAAATAATACAAAGTCGATTTTCCGCTTATTTGGTAGGAATGGATGATACAACATGATGTGCTTGATGAATACCACTAAATGAAATGACGATGGCGTACGTCATTTCATGTATATGTATATATATATATTTATACTTAATATGTGCCAACAAACTGTATTTTTTTAAACAATAGTATTAGTGTTTTTGAGCTCATCGTTTTACAACAAAAAAAAAAGTTATTTAAAATGAATAATAGCAGAATATGTGATTTGAATAACAAATACATATGTTTAAGACGTAATTTAAATATAAATATTGTATCATCTGGTGAATTGATTTAATTAAGATATAATGACATATTATAGGTACGTGACAGAATTCGAAACGTGAATATTCGCAGAACTAATGACCGATACAGTCCGAAGAATCTGCAAGCTGAAGCGGCAATGGGCCGACAACATAACCCGACCGGCTGTACGTTCTAAATACGTTGTTATTATATCTGAGTCGATTATTTTTTCTATTAAAAATGTCCATTTCAACAACAATTACTGATAAATTTAACAATAAAGATGACCTCTCTTATGAGAACTATTTTTTTTTACAAGGCTATTTGAGCTTTAAAAAAAAATATATGGTTCTCATACTCTACCAGAGGGATCTGTCTATCTCTTGTTTAAAAAAATGGCAACTTTGTACAAAAGACGTTTGCTTGGGTACCTCTGTCCCACTCGGTGTTTCTACCGTGAAGCTGTGTTTGCATGGCTGTGTTTCGGTTTGAAAGGTGGGATATGGCGTGTATTTACAGGGTACAGAGGAATAACACCTGAGTCCTCAGGAATGGCAACGCATGGGGGGGGGGGGGTATCATGGGCGAAACAGATTACTCTGTTATATCTACGCTCATGTCTATAGGCGACGGTTACCACTTTAGATCAGGTGGGCCGTCAGCTTGTTTGCCATTCTAAGTTGTATAAAAAAAAAGTTGTGTTTAAGAGCTGTGGATTTTTATATTAAATAAATATATAAATAAGCATGGATTTGAATATTTTACGCATGTGAATTGTATTGTAAATGTAATTATTGTAAAAAAAAATTAAATTAATATTATTCTATATGGTCTAATCTATATAAGAGAATTGTCGATGATCCCAGGCTTGCAAGCGGTATCGAACCCTTAAGTCTCAGGAGAGATTTTGCCTCATCTGCGTGTTCTACCGCTTGTACAACGGATTGTGCTCAGAGGAATTATTCAATATGATGCCTGCGGCCACTTCCTATCATCGTACGGCTCGCCCTAGACAGGGAGTTCACCCTCATACCTTACAGCCTAAATAGTCGCGTACAACGCGGTTACAGAGATGTTTTCTCCCACGAACACTCAGGTTATGGAATAAGCGCCCTGCCGAGGTTTTCCCAAGAGACTACAGCATGAGGTTCTTCAAAAGGGGGGTAAAGAGGTGATACTCTAATGTTGCAGGCGTTCATGCTACGGTAACCGCTTACCATCAAGTGGGCCAGTACCTCAGTCGTATAATTTTTTTTTAACTTAGAATGGCAAGTATTCTGATGTTATTGCAGTACCGTGGACATGTATACTGTTTCGCCCATAACCCCCCATGCGTTGCCATTCCTGAAGTATATATAGTAGTTATTATAATTATAAAGTGACGTTTAATAAGAATCTGTAACAGATGTATATGAATAAAGATGATTTATTAATCATCATTTCAATTGATCAATTGATTTGAATAAATAAATGTATAAAGTTGTCATTATTATTGTTATGTTTTGTAGCTGAATAAATGATTTTTTTTTTGCAACACAGGGGGCAAACGAGCATGCGGCTCACCTAATGGTAAGTGACTACCGCCGCCCATGATCACCCACAACACCAGCGGCATTGCAGGTGTGCTGCCGGCCTTTTAAAAAGGAATATACTCTTTTCTTGAAGGTTATATTGTCGTATCGGTTCGGAAATACTGCTGCTGGAAGTTGATTCCAAAGAATAGTTGTGCGTGGAAGAAAGTGCCTTTAAAAACGCACGGTGGAAGACCGCTACTCGTCCAGATGATTGGGATGAAACTTTAGTTTGTGGCGGGTTGTACTGTGGTGAAAATCAGCAGCAGGTATCAATCCGAACAATTCCTCAGAACACTCCCCATGATAAATTCGGTAGAAGATGCACAGAGATGAATCATCTCTGCGCAGTTTCAGTGGGTGAAGTCGGACAGTAAGGCATTGACTATCGATAATTCGAGCCGCCCGACTTTGAATACGGTCTAACGATAGGAGTTGGTACTGTGTCGCTCCTGCCCATAAGTGAGAACAGTATTCCATATGCGGCCTGAATTGAGCTTTACATAATTTCAGCCTTTATATATTATTATTATTATTAAATTAGTGACGTTAGATTATAATAACTCTGTAAAATGTGAGCATGTTTTGTACATTACGGTAACAACCGACAAATGTGTCTGACCACCCCGTTACGGATTACAATAAGGAACATATATTATTGGCGATATCGGAAAAAAAAATCGAGTAAACAAATAACAAAGTAACTCATTATGAAGTACCTTTAATAAAATTAACAAATGACCCGAGTGCATGTTATTTACTACTGGGAGAGACAGCTGTCACTGCATTCGGCGACAAGTGAATAAATAATATCAATTTGTGAATTTATTAATTCTATTTACATCACTGGTGACAAATCATCAGTGTTCTGGAATGCGAGAAAGTGACAAATCATTTTATTATGCTTCAGTTCTGGTCTGACCGCCGTGCGGCTGCGAACTTGTTATTGTGAAGTTACCTCTTAACGAAACCCCGTCGGCATGGAGCCCGCTTCCGTTGAAATAAGTTTCTCTATCACAATTTTTGCCGATCTCAGAACAGTTTATTTTTCTCTATCGATTCTGTAGAAATGATTGTTTTTTTCGATGTTCGGGGGATTGTCCATCAAGAATTCGTCCCTCCAGGCCAGACTTTTATGTTAAGAACGAGTTCGTCCAGAAGAGACGTTGGATTTTAACGCACCTCTCTTGTTGTCCGTGAGTTTTTGAGTAAAAAATCCATTACGGTGACCGAACACCCCCCCTATTCGCCGGATTTGGCCCCGTGTGACTTCTTCTTGTTCCCAAAAACCAAATTGGTACTTCGGGGGCGGCATTTGGGGGACATAAATGAGATAAAAAAAGCTACGACGGGGCATGAGAAACCTACAACCAGAGGACTTTCAAGGAGCCTTCTCACAGTGGAAACGGCGTTGGCACAAGTGCATTATGTCACAGGGGGAGTACTTTAAAGGGGATAAAATTGATTTACCTGAATAATTGTAAAATAAAATTTTTAAAAAACTTTTATACGTACTTTCCGGACAAACCTCGTATTATGATTTTTATTTGCTGTGAAATAATATCACAATTGCTACTTTTTCTCTATCGACTGTAAAATATAAATTCTGACTTTTATGTTAAGAACGAGTAGACTTTAACGCAGTGTGATTAATGACTAAAATCCGAAAACAGCGACAAAACTGTGATTTCATAAAGAGTGATTTGTAGCTGTCTAAATAGTCGAACATATGAAACGATATAACAGTAGTGACGTATGATTTCGAATAGCTATTAATATTTCACCTGTTACTTGTGAAACATTCAAAGCCTAACAAAACATGTCCGTTAACAATGTAATGTGAATGTGACCTCATCACGACACATGCACTCGTGTACATAAGTACCTAAACCCAGATACGAGTATTTCACCTTTACGCCTTTGTTTATTAGAAGAAGAAAAGCCCATTACAATACAAATAGCGTCTGCTTTGTGCGAGTAATTCATCACACTTTACAGAATTCATAAATGAAACAATGCGTAAACAATATCGAATGAACTTTAAATGGAGCTCACCAGGTAAACATTGTTTCGCACTTGCCAACTCCATTTTCAAGAGACTTCAAAATGAATGTACATGTAAGAAAGAACTTATTGGCCGGAGCACCTAAATACCAGCTTGAACCTTTCGACTCGTTGCAACGACGAGCTATGAGAATTGTCGATGATCTCAGGCTTAAAAGCGGTATCGAACCCTTGAGTCTTAGGAGAGATTTTGCCTCACTCTGCGTGTTCTACCGCCTGTACAATGGATTGTGCTCAGAGGAATTGTTCAATATGATGCCCACAGCTACTTTCTACCATCGTACGGTTCGCCATGAACAGGTTGTGGAATGAGCTCCCTGTCGAGGTTTTCCCAAGAGACTACAGCACGGGGTTCTTCAAAAGGGGTGTAAAGAGGTTTCTTCAGGGTCGGCAACGCACGCGTAATACCTCTGGTATTGCAGGTGTTCATAGGCTACGGTAACCGCTTACTATCAGGTGGGCCGTATGCTTGTTTGCCACCTCAGCGGTATAAAAAAAATGTGTCGTACAAAAAAAACATCTCCGATACTGACAAAAATGGTTATTTTGATTTAAAAGCTAAACCACTGAACGTATTATGATAAAATTACTATGGAATCAGTCTGTAATTTAAATAAATACACATAATGTTAACAGAGATTTAAAAGTGTAACTGTCGAGTTTCTTGCGAGCTCTTCATAACAGATAAGAAGTTTTCGAAGCCTGCATTCATAAAAAATGACGATTTAAAAATGCTTGTAAACAAGTATATTTGAATAAAGATAATTTATTATAATTAATTAATCTATATTTATACTTATAATAAATCTGTAGAGAGGTCAATTCTGTACATGAAATATATTTCCAAAATAATTATCAGGGGGTGATTAGTGATCGATACTGATGCCAAAAGTGCAATCAGTAAAATTTTTGTCTGCCTGTCTGTATGTTCGATATAGAAACAAAAACTACTAGACTAGTGAATATAAATACAAAATTTTGTCTCTTAGATAGATAGATAGATAGATAATTTATTTGCATTATTACTTACAGCACACAAATTACAACATACATATAAAAAAAAAAGCGAGATAACATAAACGAAAAAAAAAATACACAATGCTAAATACAATTTTCGTTTGTGAGTGTGCCATAGTAATACAAATAGCAAATCTTATATCGTACCGTATAGTCGACACTGTTGAAGTTAGGTTTTATGCTGGCTGAATATATATATATATATATATATATATATATATATATATATATATATATATATATATATATATATATATATATATATATATATATATATATATATATATATAAAGTAAAATAAAAAAATAAAAATACAAATAGAATATTTTAATGATTAATATTAAAAATTTCTGTACAAAAAGTAATGATGTCTAATAATTAGTAGTACCGCATTCGAGTATTCTGACACTTCCCTATGGTTGACTGGGAGAGAATGCTTTTAGCATTAAGTCCACACATACTTGCACTAATGAATAAATAAATCAATATCTCATCAAAAACATAAATGTGAAATGAGAGCCAAGTTCAATATTACGAATGCGCGTCGTTTCGACTCCGTTATTATAAATTATTAAGGCAAATCTTGATCTTGTGATTACGTCCCAAATGAAATAAATGCATTGTGTAAATAATTGTCTGTTAAAATTAAGAATTTATAATACCTATTAATTAGTAAACATAGTAGTAGTACCAAGAAACAAGACACTGTTGTATAAATTAATTTTATAATGTTGCTTGTTCTTATAATTGGTAATTTTTAAGACTTTCTACACAGAACTTGGCACACATATAGATTTAAATTTTTTTTCGACGGAGTCGAACCGACGCTTATTTGTAATATCGAACTTGGCTGTCGTTTCACATTTATGGGTTTGATGAGATAAAAACATGATTACACGTGTGTTTTTAACAATTTAATTATCCTCTTGTATATAACATTTCTGAAGTGTTTCGCCCATATGAAATCCACGTGACCGAAATGGTACTCATTGGGTATTTTATACATATCGACACAGTTGGACAACTTTCTGCGCAACTTATAAACATCACGGGACGAGCAAACCAGATCACTGTCGCTAAAAAACAAAGCCACAGGAGCCGATATCTTCGCCAGGGGGTAACTTGGAGGTGTTACTCTGCCATATTTCTTCATGTTTCTATCTGGTCCGTGGTCGTATTGCCGGAAGTCCCCCGAAACGATCCCCTGGAGGTAATGGTTAACTTGCCCAATTGACGCTCCGGAGGGCGCGTGGCTAAATATCACCGGTAAGAGGGTAGCGTTTAATTCAGTATAGCTGAAAATATTGAGGCTCATAACTATTCTATTGCATAAGATATCCGCCACTGGGCCTGCATCACAAAGGATGTTCTTCACGATGCGGATTAGTGGAGTGTCCGACAGTAGCTCGTATATGCCGTTGTTATTCAGCACCTTTTTTATGAGGCCCCCGCTACGAGCTAAAATTTGCGTGGCTTGTGAATTTGTGTTTGACAAGTAGGCACTTGGCGCTAGCGCTATCATTAGGATAACCTTCTCATTGTATTCCGGTCTCTCGGAGCCCATAACGAAGAAGGTGGTGGTGCCCTGCGAGTGACCGATGTAGTACAGAGACCTCCTATTCGTCATGTTTAGACTGTAATCGATCATCGCCGGCAGGTCGTAGTAACCAATTTCATGCCAAGAGAACTTCCAGAATGCGGGCCCAGCGGGATCGAGACTGACGTGCCGGCGCGAGTGTTTGTTCCCCCTGGCGTTGCCCAGCCACACATCGTACCCGTCGTTTGCCAGCAAGTAAGCTAAACTGTTCTTGGGGCCTGCTACCACGAAATCATCAGCACTCCCGAACAGTCCGTGCATGAGCAATACAACGGGCCCTTTCCCCGGTATCCGGAACATTGTCAATATGTAGCCGTCCTCGGTGAGCACCTCGTGCTCTTCCAGGGGATATCCATACTTCAAAATGAGTTCTCCTATACTGAGCTTCACGTCTTCGTTGTTCAGGCCCGCTATAAATTCGGCGCGCATATTCGTGTACTCCGAGGGACTTTGATTCATTTTCTGGGCAGATATTTTAGGAGACCGGGACAGCGTATTAACTAGCTGTCCATGGCAAGTGCTTAGAAGCAAGAAGAATAAGCCTGTGCTATAAGCCATTTTATACGAGCATTTGGCCTTAGAGTTGCAATGAAATCATCACTGTTAGTTTTTTTTTTATGAGTAATCCGCGCCTTTAATCCAGACTGCTGACGGTTTGTCTGATGGATTACAACAAACAAAACATCGGCTAATATATATATACTTATACCTGTCAGTACCTTATATAAGTATGTTACTGTACATTTACAAGACAATAAAATTATTTTTTAGGATTCCCTAACTAAATACGAAATCTTGGAATTTCATTCTAATTTTTGCTAAAAACATGGCCAGTTACTGTCATCATCGTCATCATATCAACCGTTAACTGTCCATTACTAAACATAGGGCTCCTCCACAGTTTGCTCATTGAGGGATTTTACAGTAGTTGCCACGCTTGGCAACCGAAGTTAGACTTTGGTGATGTTTATATTTGTCTTAACCAACAATTGTGAGTACGGTGTTTAACGTCGCAGCGACTTGTAAGCAAAAATACTATGTCACGATTGTCGCCAATTCTAGAAACCGTTCAACAGTTTTTTTTTTATGAAATTTTATAAACGTGTAATTTTTACCGACTTCAAAAGGAAAGAAATTCTAAATTCGGTTGTATTCTTTTTTTTTTTTGTTTATTACCTCATAACTCCATCAGTTCTAAACCGATTCGGATATTTTTTCTGAAAGGATATACTTATAGCATATTTTACGAAAATCGTTCCAGTAATTCAAATTTTAGATCAAAAGAACTGGTTTTGACACAATTGAAGTCGGTTTTTTATATTTTTTTGTGGGACACAATCTTTAATTATTTATCCCTTACTTGAGGGTTAAAATGTTTTCTTATTCCGATAAGTAAAAATGCACCTAGGAGGTGTGGTAGTAAACATTTGTCGGATCAGTTAGTCCTTACTAATATTATAAATGTGAAAGTGAGTTTATTTGTTATCTAAGTCCTTTAACGGCTCAATCAATCACTATTAATTCTGGTATATATATAATAACTTTATATATCCAATCCTTGATAGAAAAAGGTTATAGCCTTTTATCCCTTTGCTTTACCTGCTTTTTATCCTAGCCAGTGAATCCATCCCGATCACGCGAATGAAATCACGGGTGAAAGCGAGTACATACGAGGGCAAGGTGAAATGTATTCGGCCTGACATAGAAATGGCATTCTAATCAGCAAATAATTATTTTTATTGTCTACGTGCACGTATCATTAGTTCGTATGCCAAGTTTAAACTTGTTCTCTCGCATATAGTTTACACGATTTTTTCCAGTAAACATCATGCATGTTTTTTGTTAAAATGGATATGCACACATGAATGTGTTGGCGGTGGGAAAACTGCAGAATTTGGGGTACGATTTGCTCGGTCATCCTCCCTATGCTCCTGATTTAGCACCCTTAGACTTCTATCTATTGCCAAACTTGAAGAAATTTGTTTCTGGGAAGCGGTTCACGTCCGATATAGAAGTTGTGAGGGCCGTAAATGAATATTTTCATAACCTTCCAGAGTCTCACTTCCGAAAAGGAATACTGATGTTAGAAAAACGCTGGATCAAGTGTGTAGAAGTCAAGGGCGACTGTGTAGAAAAATAAAAATATATTTTACTGAAAATCGCAGTCTTCCATTGTCAGGCCGAGATCTTGTCACCTTATCCTCGTAATAAACCTACGGAACCACTCATATGGTGCCCATAAATAAAAACATAATGAAAAATAACTCATTATGGGCTGATGAAGATTTAATTAATAAAATTAACAAAATGTCACCTTGAGTAGTTACGTATTGAAAAAAAAATATATATCTTAATTTAGAATACGGAATCGTGTTTAGGAATAAAAACGTGAACTCTTAAAAAACATGTTGTATAGGGGTTTGAATGATTCAGATTAAGATCGGCGTTTTTAAGAAAATTTAAATAAAAACTGTTTTCATAAAAAATAAAATGAAACAAAAACTAAAAAAAAATAATAATATTAGACTTTTAATTTAAAATCTATTAAAGACTGAATCTGTTTGACGTCGCTGTATTGTTTTTTTTTTTTCAGCTTTTTCTTGAAGTCTGTTTAATTTTCTTAAAAAATCTTTATTTATATAAAAATATAAAAAGAAAACACTTTTTTTAATGCAAATAATACACAGGTAGTGTGTAGAAAACTAATTCATATACATACATACATACATACATATCTGTCACGCTTGTTTCCCATTAGGGTAGGCAGAAACAATGGAACGCCAAATGCTAATTCATATAATACAGTCAAAATGTCATTATATCATAGCAGAACTGTAAGTTAGTTTACAAATTCATTAAAGTTAGAAAATGTTGCATGCCAAGCTGGCTGAATGTCATGGTTACACAAAATGTATAATGTTACCTAAACTTACCACATTCATCGCAATAAATTTCATTTCATTAGCTCGTGCGCGAGTCACAATCGCTCATGACTAAGGATCACGAATTGATTCCGAAACTAGTCTAGTTTCCTCGATCTAGTTATACGTAAGTTAAACCGGTAGTTATTAATTTAAAATACAATGTATGCTTATGTAAATTTTACTAAAATACTTTAATTGAATTTTTTATAACTTTTTATTTTTAATAACAATACTCGTATCTAAAAACGATTTTAAATTCTCGCTAATAGGGAAACTCGACTCCCACGAACACTCAGGTTGTGGAATGAGCTCCCTGCCGAGATTTTCCCAAGAGACTACAGCACGGGGTTCTTCAAAAGGGGGTTAAAGAGGTTTCTTCAGGGTCGGCAACGCGCGCGTAATACCTCTGGTATTGCAGGTGTTCATAGGCTACGGTAACCGCTTACCATCAGGTGGGCCGTATGCTTGTTTGCCACCTCAGTGGTATAAAAAAAGACCACGCTGTTCCCTTGGTACGTGAATGTGAATTATGACTTGGCATCTCTTAGTGTATTCTAAAGCTTGTGTAACAAATTGTGTTCTGAGGAATTGTTTGACGATTCTCAAAGTCTGTTTTCGAACCGAATGAAGTGGACCAAGATGTAATTATGAAACTTTTTTTATACAACTTAGAATGGCAAACAAGCTGACGGCCCACCTGATGGAAAGTGGTAACCGTCGCCTATATACATGAGCAGTACTATAGACATAACAGAGTAAACTGTTTCGCCCATGATACCTCCCATGCGTTGCCTTTCTTGAGGACGCAGATGTTATTTCTCTGTACCCTGTAAATTCACTGCCATATCCCACCCTTCAAATCGAAACAGTCATGCAAACACAATAGAAACACGAATGGGACAGAGGTGGCAAAGCAAACGATTTTTGTACACATTACTCCCTCTAATAACTTTTGTAAAAAACTGTACTTACATGAGAGCATCGGTGAATCTCAGTATGGGAGCCATTTGCAGCATCAAGATGATGATCCGCAGCCACTTGCGCTTGGTGAACTCATTGCTGATGGAGTTCTGCTGCTTGTCTTGTGAATACCTGGTAGTATTTAATAAATATCTGTATTTTTTTTTAATTTTTTTTATACAACTTAGAATGGCAAACAAGCTGACAGCCCACCTGATGGAAAGTGGTAACCGTCGCCTATAGACATGAGCAGTACCATGGACATAACAGAGTGTACTGTTTCGCCCATGATACACCCCCCCCCCCATGCGTTGCCATTCCTGAGGACTCAGGTGTTATTCCTTTGTACCCAGTAAATTCACGCCATATCCCACCCTTTAAACCGAAACACAGCCATACAAACATAATTGCTTCACGGTAGAAACACGAATAGGACAGAGGTACCCAAGCAATCGACTTTTGTACAAAGTCTCCCTCTGGTATACTCTCCATCAGGTGAACCATAAGTATGTTTACTATTCTAGTTTTTTTTTAAAATAAATTTTGGCAACCTTGGTGGTCTCGCGGAATGGTAACACCGCCTGCGCTACCGGTTTACGCTGGCGAGACACCAGTGAGGGACGATTGGTGAGAATGAAAGCACAAGTCAGCCCACCGTGATGAATACACCAGGAATTCAGTACGATGGTTTCCAGAGGGGACCGCGTGTAAGTCGACCTGATAGGATATATTGCTACCAATGGGGCTGTTAGACTCCCAATACTAATAATCCCTTTCCCCTCAAACAATAGGATAGTTAAACCCATTTAACAGGGGGAAAGGGATCGTTAGCAATGGAGTTTGACAGCCCCATTGCTAGCAATACGCCCTATTAGGCCGACCTCTACGTGGTTCCCCCTGGAAACCATCGTGAACAATTCTTGTTGAATTCGTCATGATGGGCTAACTGACCTACTTCATTCTCACCTATCATCCTTCACTGGTGCCCCGGCAATGTATACCAATAGCGCGGAGTGGGGTCCATTTTCACCCATAAAAAAAACAATCCCTCCTTCCAGTTTAAATAATTTATATATATATATATATATATATATATATATATATATATATATATATATATATATATATATATATATATATATATATACCAGTATATATCAAATTATCTATTCTGTTATATCCATGTTGCTGTTCATGTCTATAAGCGATGGTTACCACTTTCCATCAGGAGAACAGTCAGCATGTTTGCCATTCTAAGTTGCATAAAAAAATTTGAAAATATTAAATTAAAGTGTCCATAAGGAAGCTTCTCTTAATTTGATACTAGATGGCAGTGTATAGACGTCCATTGATACAACTCACGACCATTGGAAGGCAAGGTGGCTAAACTGCTACCCTATCAAGGTTACGTATTATCAATGATAATACGTAAGACTATAATCCACATATAACCTGATATCCGCGTTGTGATATAGGGTCAATGACCCCAAATCCACAATGTGTGAGGAAAGGATTATAAGCAATGGAGTTTGACAGCACCATTGCTAGCAATATAACCTGTCAAGTCAACCTACATGTGGTACTCTTAGAAACCATCGGAGTGATTCTTGAATATGTCACGATGCACTATCTGATCTGGCCCTCCAGACAAGTAGCAAGTGAATTCCTCGATGGAATCAACATTGCTAGCGAGTCCATGAATTGGAATGAGACATCCGACATTGCTATCTCATTCCAACTCACGTGCTCACTAGCTATGTCGATTCCAATGTCGAATTCGTTAACCACTTGTCTAGAAGGCCTGCTTTCATTCTCACATATCATCTCTCTATTATCTCCCCAATTGACACTGATACTGCAGGCTGGATACCATTCCATTATCACCCATTAAAAAATAATACTAATCAGACAGACAATACTTTACACATTGTAGTACGGTGTAGATGACAAGTAACATTCTGGCAGTTTTTAGAGTAAATGTTTAATTAAATTTACACTTTCTTATGGCTAATTATTTGGACAATGTATATTCAATTCAATTTATTATAAAAAATGATTTATTTATTGCATTCTACAATATTACTATAAAAGATGTTAGTAATTGATGTAGTACATTGTAGACCCTGTCGGGCACAGCAATTAGAAGCGAGGAGGGCGTCGATTCTTAAATTTTCATAACGATTTAAATAATTCAATTTTAATTTTATCAATTTGATTAAATTCAAATTAAATTACAAATTAATTTAATTATTTTAACGATTTTTTATTTCCATATGTTTTATTTTATTTTTATGCAATTTAATGTAGTTGTTCATATTTTTATATCTTTTTAGTGTACTTATAATTACAGTGAACACTCTATATAAGCAACATTCTTTATATTTTATTTATTCTATTCAACTTAGTAAAAGAAAAAAGTAAAAATATTGTCCAGATGGTAAGTATTTTTATACTCCTGTTTTCCCTGTAAGCAATTTTTCCCAATAAGATTTTTTCAAAAATTGGTTCAAATGACTTGCTTACATAGAGTGTTCACTGTATTTTAGTACTATTTCCTCTATGGTTTTAATGACCTCTTAAGTACACCATGCTTTTTTTTATGGGTGAAAATGAAATGGTTACCCCACCTGCGCTAACGGGATACACTGGCGGAGCACCAGTGAAGGGTGATAGATGAGAATGAAAACAGGCCAGTTAGCCCATCATGATGAATTCATCAGAAATTAACCATGATAGTTTGCAGGGGGAACGAGGAGCGAGGGTGTCGACCTGGTTGGGTATATTGCTAGCAATGGGATTCTCAGTCTCCATTACTAACAATCCCTTTCCCCCCAAGTACACCGTGCTATGATGATTAAAGTATAGCCAACATAAAATAACGTCTGCACAAGAAAGGTACAAAAAGAGTAAATAGAAAATGCAATACTTACATTCTGATTGCAATCGCTGTGTTGATAAAAGCAGGTAGAAGTATAAATGCTAAAGTCCAACCAAACTCCACAATTTTTCCCGCCAAATAATATCTTAAAGCCACATTTATATCCAAGCCGAGGTCCACGAAGTGTCCAACAATAGCCACTACGTACATTAACAGATCCAAATTAGTTATTGAAATATTTTTGGGTATTCTATCTGTTTCGTCGTACGATCGACCATTTTGCAACAAATCACGCACTGCATTTGGCATATTGAAAGCTTCTATTGAACAAATTAATTGAAAATAAATAAAATAATACTATAAACACTAATACTCATTTATTTGTTGACATTGTTTTAATGTAAACAATAAATAAAACAAATAAATATTTACAGAACGCGTACTTGATTGATGCAAGTAAACAGAGTTGCCAAACTTTTAAAAAAGTTACCCTCATGTCGTCACCGTCAGACGTCGATTTCCCACGTGTTAAATGACATTGAAGTAAAATCATTGAGCCAAATTACATATCAAAGGTTTACTGTATTCTTAAATATCATTTGTTATATTAGTTATTAAAAACTGTGACATTGATAAGTAAATATTATATATATTCATCTCATAACTAATTATAAACATCATTATTTGTTTTTCCATCAACAAATAAAATTGATTGTACATAGGTATTTCACCTCTTTCTTTATTACTGGCCGCACGTTTCTTCTTCTTCATTCTTACATCCTACCTATTGTATTTATCTCTTCCATTGTAAATGCTTTATTTATGTAATATATATAAATAGTCAAAGCTAGATATTTCCTAATTATTCGTATCATTTCCTAACAACTATACAATAAAAGAAAGTTTTTGTAGGTTTCATTTCTTTGACAGTCAGTTTATATATATATATATATATATATATATATATATATATATATATATATATATATATATATATATATATATATATATATATTTATACATATTATTTTAACTGATTATTACTTAAGAGTAATTTTTATAAGAAACTTTGTTCATAAAACCTAAAACCTCCTTCAAATATATTTCAGCTATTGAAATATTTTGCGACTTTCCTTCAAATTAAGAAGTAAACGTAAAAAAAAAAGACACAACACATTCAAAAGCTAAAATAGGTTTATGAGAGGTTTGATTTTTTTTTATGAATAAGGGGCTTAAAATATAATTGTCATATAGAAAATCTTGTTATACGCAGTCATTACCAACTTTAGGGGAATAGAGCTGTTAGTTAGAAACCCCGGCCGTAGAAACTGTCAAAAGAGACAGACTAATGTTTTTATAAGTACAGCAATGGAACAAATTTGTAAAGCCAGGGGGAAAAGGGTTGTATAGCAGGGTTTAATTTAACAGCCGTATAGTTATAATTAGCAATACAGGTGTAGGTTATATACCCTATCAAGTCGACATTCACACCAATTAGAAACATCTAGAGAACTAAATATTGGTATCAAACTCTTAAGTTTTAGGAGAGATTTTGCCTCATTCATGCTGCTCAGAGGAATTGTTCAAAAGAATGCCCATGACCACTTTCTACCATCGCACAGCTTGTCATTGACAGGAAGTTCATCCCCATACATTAAAGTCTGGCTGGTCGCGTACAACGTGGTTTCAGAGATGTCTCCTCCCATGAACGCTTAAGGTACCTATAGAATGAGCTCACTGTCAAGATTCTTCCAAGAAACTACAACATGGGGTTCTACAAAAAAGGAATAAAGAGGTTTCTTCAGAGTCAGCAACGCGCGCTTAATGCCCTTGATATTTTAGGCATTCGTAGGCTACGGTAACCGTTTACCATCAGGTGGACTGTATGCTTGTTTGCCACCTTGGTGGTACAAAAAAATCCTCAACAACATAGCGGGGCCACCAATGGAAGATAAAATGTGAACGTCAGGCCATTTGACTGATCGTGGCAAATGCTACAATAGTTCCCACGCGGGAGTGTGTAGAGATTAACTTGACGATGTACACTCTTGTCTCTAGCAATGGAGATTAGCATCTCCATTATAAACAATCCCTTACTCAAAACAAATAGATTTTGTCTATAGATGAATACGTCAGAAACAGTTAATTTAAAAAAAAATTACGAAGAATAAATATTATAAAACTTGCTTTAACCTATATCTTTCTCTATTTCATATAGTACGTGTTTACCCAATTTAAGGCTATAAGGTAACTAACAAACAAACTCATTTTCACATTTATATTATTAATAAGGATTATAATAAAAAAAAAAAATAGTATCTAGTATTATTACGTAGGAGTGCATAGATAGGTATGTAAGATATATCTTAGATAAATCATCTATGCAAGCGTAGATAAATAAAAAAAAAAGAAATATTAGATTAGATTAGTTAGACAACAAATGTACCTTTATTTGAGGTATTTGATTAATAATTTATTAGATTTATTCATTTATTTAAACTTCAAAGCGTATGACGGACTTAACACTTAATGGCCTTCTCTACCCAATTAACCGTGAGGCAATCAGAAAATTAAGTAGGCGGTGCATTTACTACTAAAATATGTACAAATTTATCTTAACAGAAAGTACAAAATCTGTAATCTACCTAGACTTAAATTAATAAAAGTAAATCCCAAAATATCTCTTTAACTTGTGAAAGAGAAGCGAAATTAAATTTATATATATTAGTGTAAGATACCTATGGCTCATATATCAAAAGGCAGAAAGGTCAGACAGAAATAGAATTTTTTTTTATTCGACTTAAAATGGCAAATAAGCTGACGGCCCACCTGATGGAAAGTGGTAACCTATAGACATGAGCAGTGCCATGGACATAACAGAGTATACTGTTTCCGCCCATGATACCCCCATGCGTTGTCATTCCTGAGGACTCAGGTGTTATTCCTCTGTATCCTGTAAATTCACGCCATATACCACCCTTCAAACCGAAACACAGCCTGGACAGGACAACAAAATGTCCATGTAGTTGACCTCTGTGCTAAAGTGGCTGCTACGTAAGTTACTTTGCGTAAAAAGTGTCCAGATTAATAGGCCAAATTAATTTTGAGTTGTCGTTCATACCGAAATTGGCCTAATAAATAGAATTTAACACTTCGTTCGTCATAAATCCTACCATTAAATTTCAAAGGGAACGATATTTTAACATTTTCAATATTTTTAAACAGTGTGTATTATGTAAATTTAATTTTGTGTTTCATTCGCCCCCAAATTTTCGGATAACATTTCATGGTAGGCCCTCTGATCTCTGTAGGATGAATAAAATTTAAAAAATGAACTCTTCTAAATTGGCTTGGATCTGAATGTTCAAAGTTATGGCACCAGTTATTCGTTGCCTATTTTCTCATAACACGGTGTATCTTAGTTTGAGAACCAAGTGGTTGGTTTGATTGTAGAGTACTTAATATTGTTATAAAGCCATCTTTCAGTAAATTTATTTGGGTGTTTAATAAAGTGTTTTGAGGACATCACGCGAGGATAAATTGGCGCCGAAAAGTGTTATGAATAGAGGCTCTTGCAATCTCTGCTGCCGTTTCGTTCTGGAATTAATAAGTAATACAAATAAATAAGCCATGTGATCCTGTCATAAAATAGGCCACCCGTCCTTTCCCGTGGGTATTGTGAGACGCGACTAAGGCAATGTGAAAGAAAGGCAGCAGTCTTTTAAAACATCTCTGAAGACTGCGGTTGCCAATCCGCCTGTCAAGCTTGTAAAAACTACTGGCAAAACCTCCCAAGGAGGAGGCTTATGCTCAGCAGTGGACAGCTGAAGACTAATATATAGGATGATTACAAATAAATAACTAACTACAAATAAATAAATGACTACTTGACAAATTATTAATCTATCGGGTCCACAAATTATTAATGCATCAGGTCTTCCATGGCAATCATCATAAATAATTCCCGAATGAGCCTGACTTCGTAGAAACCTGTCATCACTAACTCAATATCCTCCCAGTATATTCTAATAACGCAGTCAGGATTACAATTAGACCACCACCAGAGGGAGACTTTGTACAAAAGTCGTTTGCTTGGGCAGCTCTCTCCTATTCATGTTTCTACCGTGAAGCAGTCGTGTTTGCATGGCGATGTCGAGCCGAATCGGTTCGGCAATCCTAACTGCGGTTGCCAGCTCGCCTGCCAAGCGTAGCTACTACATAAAACCCCCCTTATAGGGGAGACTTATGTTCAGCAGTGGACAGTTAAAGGCTAATATGAAGGTAATGATGATAAAACAGATCTTCACGCGTACCAGATCATAAAATCATAACTATAGAGTTATAGGAAACATACTTACTGAAGTCAATCAAACATACCGACCTCTCCTTTAACAACTTCACTAATGGATTCCACTTCTCTGAGAAAACAAACTTATGGTTCTTCCATTTGTCCTTCAAAAGGTCTGATATAGACGCATTTACTAGCCTCAAATATTGGCAGTTATTAGTATAGGAATCCAATAGAAGCTGTTCAAAGAACTTGGGGACAAAGTCGCGGAGGCACGTCTGGACGTTGAAGAGAGATTGGTTCATGTCCTGCGCGTGTTGTCGGGTCTTGATTTCAACTATTGTTACTAGGCTCTCTCGCATTGTTTCGTTAAAACTAAAAAATAAGAAATGTTAAACTATCCAACCCAAAAGCGCTCTGAACTGAATAACAGACAATAACAGCCAGGCACGATTTTCCTTTCATAATAGATGGGTATTAGCCAATTATCCAATATTATAGAGTTGCTACCCTAAACTAACCAAATACCGACGTCCTTTTATGGTCGCAGACGTTAATATTTTACCACACTATTACCATATTAGCTATGTATATACTGATCCAAACAATTTGTTTTGAATTTTATCCCCACATTCATATAATTCATCCACACATATTTAAATCTAAATAGTCACCTACAAACAGTTTCAGAGAAATTTTCTCCCATAAACACTCAGGCTATGGAATGAGCTCCCTGCCGAGGTTTTCCCTAGAAACTACACTATGGGGTTCTTCAAAAAGGGTATATTAAAGTTTGTTTAGAGTCAGCAACCCCTGGTGTTGCAAGCGTCCATAGGCTACAGTGACCGTTTACCATCAGACGAGCTGTATGCTTGTTTATCACCTCTTTGGAATAAAAAAATTATCCAATATACAAAATTTACTTATCTTTCTAGGTTCATAATTCTGTTCCAGTAATCTCTCATAATTAATTGTTTTTCTTTGTTTTCAGATTAATGGCCAGTACTGGGTTTAGAGGGCGAGATGGGGCAATCGGGCGGAGACCAGAGGTATTATGACTCAAGGAGACAATAGGAGCTACGCATCAGTAAAGAGTCGTATTATATTTGAATTATTTGATGTTGGAACTTTAAACTGAAGCGGGACGTGTTACCAAGAGCTGTTCTTGCCCAGACTAGTCTGTGTTATCTCCCAAAAGTTTTTTCCGTCAATCAGAAGACTGTCAATAATTTGTCCAGAAGTGCCATGTAGCTAAAACTGCTTTATTAGCTATTTTATTAGCTATTTATAAAATCGTGACATCAATAACTTACAGCACAGCCTGATGCAGTATACAATGCGCTGCGGCCACTTCATCAGGTAATTCCTTGTGGCATTTATTAACCGTTTCGAAATGTCTGACATCTTTGAAGTTCCTGATTATCTGATGGAACTGTTCACGGATCTGGTGAAGCTTCTCCACAGGGTCTATTAGGCAGTGGTCTGTGATTTCTATCATCTGGTGAAGTCGATTGACTTTGAAGTTAGAAGACTATTTATTTATTTAAACACTTTTATACATCCTATGTAATAGTACGTGTATATCAAATTGCATAGTGCACCAGAGGGAGACTTTGTACAAAAGTCGATTGCTTGAGTACTTCTGTCCTATTCGTGTTTAAACCGTGAAGCAGCCGTGTTTGCATCGCTGTGTGTCTGTTTGAAGGGTGGGATATGGCGTGAATTTACTGGGTACAGAGGAATAACACCTGAGTCGGATCGACGCTGCTTAGGCCGAATTATAATTGGGGTTAGACGACAACATAACCTTCAAGAAAAGAGTATATTCCTTTTTAAAAGGCCGGCAGCACACCTGCAATGCCGCTGGTGTTGTGAGTGATCATGGACGGCGGTAGTCACCATCAGGTGAGCCTGATGTGTAAAAAAAATGTTTTTACCGCACTCACCTCGTCCAGCGATATGATATAATTCGTAAAATCATAGAAATATTTGATTTTGTAAAATTTCACGACAGCGCTCCTCAGTTCGCGCGCCATTTCATCGTTCATTATATTGACCAGGTCAAGAAATGTATCCAGTGTTGTCAAGGATTTGTTTTTTAAACGCTCGTAGTTGGAACGGCCTTGGTTGAATAAATTCTTGGCTACCAGATACGCTTCGGAGACTAGATGGTAATTCTTGTCGACATTTTGAAGTAAATTGTCTGTACACTATAAAAATTATATTGTTTGAAATGGCCACCTTTTATCATGAGGGATTATTTATTTATCATACACCAGAGGGAGACTTTGTACAAAAGTCGATTGCTTGGGTACCCACTCTGTCCCATTCTTGTTACCACCGTGAAGCAGTTGTTTGCATGGCTGTGTTTCGGTTTGAAGGGTGGGATATGGTGTGAATTTACTGGGTACAGAGGAATAACACCTGAGTCCTCAGGAATGGCAACGCATGAGGGGTATCATGGGCGAAACAATATACTCTGTTATGTCCATGGTACTGCTCATGTCTATAGACGACGGTTACCACTTTCCATCAAGTGCGCCGTCAGCTGGTCCATTCTAAGTTGTACAAAAAAAAAATAGAAGACTTCGGAATGCTCAGCAGTGGGACACAACAGACTTAAAATAATTAGCTGGTTGGTTTTTTGTTAGCACGTTTCATGCTAAACGATATATGTACTTACGAGTGTGGTCCCGGCATGGGTAGGCCGTCCCTTCCTTTCCCGTGGGTGTTGTAAGATGTGACTGAGGAACTTAAGTCGAAGGATGCCTATCCTGCTGCCTAGCAGCATTCCTCTTAATACATAACTAAAAGTCTAACTGCGGTTAGGGGGAAAGGGATTGTTAGTAATGGAGACTGAGAATCCCATTGCTAGCAATATACCCAACCAAGTCGAGCTCCTCGCGGTTCCCCCTGGAAACTATCATGGTTAATTCCTGATGAATTCATCATGATGGGCTAACTGGCCTGTTTTCATTCTCATCGATGACCCTTCACTGGTGCTCCGCCAGCGTATTCCGTTAGCGTAGACGGGGTTACCATACCATTTTCACCCATAAAAGAAACTGCGGTTACCAATTCGCCTACCAAGCGTGGCAACTACTGGCAAAAGCCCCTTAACGGAGACCTATGTTCGGCAGTGAACAATTAATAGACGATATGAAGATGATATTTGCTTAGATACTTACCTCAAGTAAACACAATATCGACAGCAACAGAATAACCACGTCACAAAGGTTCAAGATAACATTCATTGTCGTAGCTGTTAACAGAATTATAAAAAAAAACTTAATAATTTAAGACTTTTTTCACAAAAAACACCGACTCGAATCGTAGTCGTTTATTTTGATTTAAAAACTTAAACTAGTGAATCGATTTTAACAATATTAGCAATATTGTTAAAATCGGAATCAATTTCAAAGAATATCCATGCAGATAAAAAAAAACAAATCGGTTTATAAATGACGATAGTTCTGAGGTAAAAATACAAGAAAAGATTTTTTTTTATACAACTTAGAATGGCAAACAAGCTACCGGCCCACCTGATGGAAAGTGGTAACCGTCGCCTATAGACATGAGCAGTACCATGTACATAACAGAGTATACTGTTTCGCCCATGATACCCCGCATGCGTTGCCATTCCTGAGGATTCGTGTTATTCCTCTGTACCCTGTAAATTCACTGTCATATCCCACCCTTCAAACAGAAACACAGCCATGCAAACACAACTGCTTCACGGTAGAAACGCGAATGGGACAGAGGTATCAAAGCAAACGAGTTTTGTATAAAGTTTCTCTCTGGTAAATATAATAGAATAGAATCCAATTTGAAATTCCAAATTCAAAATTTACGCGGGAATATTAAAAACAAAAATTAGAGACTCACCAACTAAGATCATAAATTCTACTACACTATTACTTGTGTAACCATTATTAGAAAGCCATGTAATATTAGAAATAGTATTAATGCAAGATAATTATAAAAAAAAAAACCTTATACCATCAGTTATAAGGTTGAAATTGTATGAGAAGGATCACGTTTTTGTACACGTTGATTTTTTATTGACAATGAAATGTTGAATTTAATTAGTTTCTTTTAATTGAACAATCATTGCGTGGTACTAATAAGCCGTATACTTAACTTATTGGTGAATTTCATGCCGTCATTTTTGTTTTTGTGAAGCGAATTCCAGAAGAGGAAATTATGTGGATATTATGGGCGACAGAGATAAAAAGCTAGGAAAGGTCATATGCGATGCCACGCTGCTGCACGCTGTATGGTTTCAATGCAAAGATAATGGAATAGTAACCCCGTTTGCGCTATCGGTACACACCGGAGGGGCACCAGTGAGTAATGATAGACGAGGATGAAGATCAGTAGGCCCATTGTGACTAATGCAATAAGAAATAATCAAAACGGTTTCCAGAGGGAACCACGTGGAGATCGACCTGGTAGGGTATATTGGTAACAATGGGGTTATCAAACTCAATTACTAACAATCCCTTTTACACCAGGGCAGGTCAGTTAGCTCATCGCGGTAAATACACCTGAAATTCAGCACGATGGTGTCCAGGGGGTGAGCACAGGGCGGGCTTAACATCTTCCCGTCCTAGCAACGAGAGGAGGCTTGTTTAGGAGCAGACCGTCACCATCAGAGTCTCGGACAACTTCAAGCGGGTTCCCGCGACTCTGGCAATAGGCGGACGAGGATCACCGGGGGGTTTTAGCCGGTAGAAGTCCGGCAGTACCCACATATCTCCCCCGAGGTATGTGGGTCTGCATTAAGCATTTACCTTCGACAAAAAAAAAGGGGAGGGGAGGAGGGCACGTGGTCAACCTGTCAGGATATAATTTTTATACAACTTAGAATGGCAAACAAGGTGACGGCCCACCTGATGGAAAGTGGTAACCGTCGCCTATAGACATGAGCAGTACCGTGGACATAACAGAGTATACTGTTTCGCCCACGATACCCCCCATGCGTTGCCATTCCTGAGAACTCAGGTGTTATTCCTCTGTACCCAGTAAATTCACGTCATATCCCACCCTTCAAACCGCAACACAGCCATGCAAACACAACTTACTCACGGTTGAAACATGAATGAGACGGAGGTATCCAAGCAATCGACTTTTGTACAAAGTCTCCAAATATATTGCTAGGGTCTCAGACACGACAAAACTGTCACGACTTTTAAGGTCCTATATTAGTTTGAAAAAAAAAAAACAAATTTCTTCAGCTATTCTCCAGTAATATATTTACTAACGAATAGCATTTATTTTTTATTCATTACCAATTAATACCGCTAAATAATTTACATAACTATATTTATTTATTGTTAAAAATTTACGTGAGTACGCATTATATTTTAATGTAATAACGGCCGCTCATGACTAAGGGTACTGGATGGTCCCGAAACTATTTTTTACTAAAACACGTAAGTTTAATCTGGTCGTTATTATATTAAAATATAACAATATTTATCTAGAATTAAATAAAAACAGTTCTCACAATACACAATCCGCGGTCAACGGCACATTTCAACCAACAAATTAATTTATATATTAATAAATTGTATTAAAATATAAAAAAATGTTATTATATTACAATAGTATACACTTAGCTTATATAGATAGAGCTTACAGAGCTTATAGAGATCTAGTCTCAAAAACGGATCAACTTTTTGTCAGCCAATTGTCAAATTAGCAGACTCGTTTTTTTTATCAGTGTTCTACATATGTTACGCACATAATGGTATCTTGACGTATCTATATTTAATTATTTAATAAATAAAATTAAGTTTTACACGTTAAAAATATGCAAAAATTATAAAACAAAATAAATATAGAAGTTATAAAGGAATCACTCATAAGTATTTATCATGAAAAATTGTATGAAAAAGTTGAGCCGCTTTTCACGAAGCATTTGTATGGAGACACTCTATATATATAATCAAAGAGTATATATATTATTATATTTTTTAAATTATTAATAATATGCACGTCAGCAGTAGCGAGATCCACTATATGAAAGTACCTGTAAATAAATAAATATATATATTTTTTTATACAACTTAGAATGGCAAACAAGTTGACGGCCCACCTGATGGAAAGTGGTAACCGTCGCCTATAGACATGAGCGGTACTATGGACATAACAGAGTATACTGTTCCGCCCATGATACCCCCCATGCGTTGCCATTCCTGAGGACTCAGGTGTTATTCCTCTGTACCCTGTAAATTCACATCATATCCCACCCTTCAAACCGAAACACAGCCATGCAAACACAACTGCTTCACGGTAGAAACACGAATGGGACAGAGGTACCTTAATCTTACATTAGACTCCCATTATCCCACTTACGCCTCTTATTTGGGCCATTGTATGTATGAGTCGTGACTAATATAGCCAGCCATCATCATCATTCCAGCCGTTATCCGTCCACTGCTGGACATAAGCCTCCCCCATAGACTGCCATAAAGAACGGTCCTGAGCCACCTGCATCCACTGACTCCCTGCAATGCATTTCAGGTCGTCACTCCTTCTAGTGGGGGGTCGTCCTGGCCAGCCAAGCTACGCCCAAATGCCACTGTAGCTTCTGGTATGTTCACAGACCTCAATAATTCGAGAAATCGTGAACGCAAGGTATACTAACTTGAAGACCATGCGACTGGTTTTTTTTTTTTTTTACAACACAGTTGGCAAACGAGCATGCGGCTCACCTGATGGTGAGTGACTACCGCCGCCCATTGTCAACACCAGCGGCATTGCAGGTGTGCTGCCGGCCTTTTTGTAATTGTTATTACCTCCACTACCCATGTGTTTTAATACCATACCTTCTTCTGGCCACCTCATCAGTCCTTGTGCAGAAACTTGTTGAAGGCTCCATATGAGGACTCCAGATCGAACACCAACTGCCTGACCTGCGTTTCAGACAGCTCGTCCGATGCTGACATCTCCGACAGTTTGTCTAACCACTCTTGTACCTGTTATAAATTTTAGATTTCAAAATTTATGGACAGGTTATAAATCATATATATAAGATGTACAGGGTATACAATAGGGTTTTTTTATGGGTGAAAATGGTCCCACCTGCGCTAACGGGATACGCTGGCGGAGCACCAGTGAAGGGTGATAGATGAGAATGAAAACAGGCCAGTTAGCCCATCATGGTGAATTCATTAGGAATTAACCATGATAGTTTCCAGAAGGAACCGCGAGGAGGTCGACCTGGTTGGGTATATTGCTAGCAATAGGATTCTCAATCTCCATTACTAACAATCCCTTTCCCCCTTATCCTAAGGGTGGGTTGGAGCATGGTTTTCATTTTTTTAACACTATGAAAATGAAATGATAGCCCCACTTGTGCTGTATATAGTGGCGGGGCACCAGTAAAGGATGGCAGATGATGATGAAGTTAGACCAGTAGGTCTCTCATAACAAATTCAGCAAGAATTAAGCACGATAGTTTAGAGGCACCGCAAGTAAGTTGATCTGATCTAACTGATCAACAGACATGGTAACCTGTTCTAACTTCGGGGGAAAGGGATTATTAGTAATGGAGTTAAATAACCCCATTACCAGCAATATACCCTGTCAGGTCAACCTCCACTTGGTTCCTCCTGGACACCATCGTGGTTAATTCTAGTTGAATTTGTCAGGATGGGCTAACTGACCTGTTTTCATCCTCATCTGTCATTTCTCACTGGTGCCTCGCCAGTGTATACCGATAGCGCGGGCGGGGTTACCATAGCATTAAAAAATAACCTGTTCTAACTACGTGCTTTGTAATTTCACTGCCTTATCCCACCGTTCAGACTGAAACATAGCCATGAAAGCAGAGTTTCTTGTGCAGCAAGAACATGAATGGGACAGACGGCTTTTACACAGCCTTCCACTTATGTCCCGTTGCTGTTTTTGTTTAACTAAATCATTTATGTTGTTATCTACAACTACAACTTAATTTAGGTATGAATTTCAGCACTATACCTTGAGTTTCCCTTCAAAGTCTTCAGGCAACATGAGGAGCCGGTCCATAGTGTCGCGAAGGTCCCGCAGCTCGGGCTGGATCATGTCCATCGCCCGGAACTCCAGCCGGAGCTTATCCATCAGCGTGATGAATAACTGGAAAAAATATTTACAGGATTTTTTTATGCTACTGAGATGGCAAACAATGATGGAAACAAAAAATACATGTTTTTTTTTGATGGGTGAAAATCGTATGGTAACCCCACTTGCGCTAATGGGATACGCTGTCGAGGCACCAGTGATATATGATAGGTGAAGATGAAGACAGGTCAGTTGGCCCATCATGATGAATTCATCAGGAATTAACCATGATAGTTTCAAGGGGGAACGGCGAGGAGGTCGACCAGCGATATACCCATTGCTAGCAATGAGGTTCTTAGTCTCCATTACTAACAATCCCTTTCCCCCCTCCGTAAAGAATTTGGTGTGAGGATAGACTTATAAGACGACTGCAAATCCAATTATCAGTTACTAACTACGGCAGGCGGTTTCTACCGCCAAGGGTCGTATCTTATTTTTTTTTATAACACAGGGGAGGTAAACAATGATTAATGATTATCACCACCCATAGGCACCACACATCAGACACCACAATATCAGAGAAATTGCTTGTTGCCGGCCCTTTAACGTGACGTCAAATAACCTTTCAGTGAGAGGGGAAAAGATTTTTTTTATACTACTGAGTAAGCAAACAAGCATACGGTCCACCTGATGGTGAGTGGTTACCGTAGCTGATGAACGTCTGCAATATAATTATTGTGCATGAATCAGGGAAAGTTTGATGCAAGTGTTTGAGAAGCATCCATATCTTTATGCATGGCTCAGCACATGCGCTATTTTTTAAATCAATTAATATGGATTATTACTCACGGATACAATCTCTGCAATGTATTTGTTGGTGTTGCCCTTATCATCCTTTATCAGATTCGGTTTGTTCTCCTTTATCCTTTCCAGTGCTGCCAGGCAGTCTAACTGTAATAAAAATATATTACAAATATATTATACGTTAAACATGTATCGCAAAATGTGCGTGGACGAAATGGCAGTCGGGGATTGAGGGCTAATATGGGAGGTTGTAGAACTTTTGGTAGTAATAGCGGTGGTCAACCTTTGAGTGTTGGCAGTCACACACATGCTAATGGTAACACAAAACAAACAAAATAATTTTTGTTTAAACACCAGTGATATAGTCTTCTGTAAACACCTAATTCAGTAAACAAATGAACATTTGGTCAGATTAAAGGACTTTCTGCTGATCTTGAATAATGAGACAGCTCTGACATATATATGTATGTATTTATATATGTAAAAAATGTTGTTCTCTTGATTGAATGATAAATGAAATGATAATTTCAACAAAATTCGATTACTTTTTCATTAATTTATATTGAAAGAAACAATAAAAAAATGCATCCAAGAAACACATCTACTTACCCTATATTTATCGACGAACGATTCGATAGTGGGGAACTCGTCCCCCTGCACCTGTTTGAACGCGACGCGGTACTGCACGAGCAGCCGGCTGCAGGCCGCCGTGTACTCCTGCGCGCGCACGCAGTCCCGCATGTACGCCTTCTCCAGGTGCTGCAGCGTGCTCACCACGGCGTACAGCTCGGCCATGTTATCGTGCCTGCATTATGTTTACAAATCAATACCATTGAACATATTATACAGCAGCATCTAAAACCGCAAACTTTGGGTGACACAGTATACACTGTTATTTATTTATCAACTGAGTGAGCTTTATTTTATTTTATTTTTATTTTATCTTTATTTGGTCTCCTAGTAATTGTTACACTGATAAGATTTAATATTTAAATTACCGTCTATTTATACTTAGTGTACAATCATTTTAAAGGAAACACAGCATGCTAATTAACAAAAACAATAATATAGTATAACAATCTCTTGAAGTATTTGACATTGGTATAGTTTTTTAGATTCAGTAGATGATTGCTTCACATAAGTTTTTTAGCTATTTAAATTAACTGTAATGCTTTCCTATAGAAATCCCCTTCTGTATCGAAGTGAATATCCAAGTGTTGCTTGCAATCATTCAACAGCTTGCAAAGACGTGGTACAGTGGAGTTGGCACCAAGAACAGTTCTACGGAACGGCACGGACATTAGACTGATGTAACTACGGGGATAGTGTACGGGCAATCGAAAATTAAATTTGGCAAGAAGCTGAGAACAGTCAATTCTGTTCCTAAACAACTTATATAAGAACATTAAATCTATTAATGTTCTACGCTTATCAAGTGATACCATATTGAAATAGATAAGTCTGTCCCCGTAGGCCACCAAGGTCTTAGATTGTCGAGCTGAAAAAGCCAAATGCCAGAGAAATCTTTTTTGTATACGCTCTAATCTTAAAATATGGGTCGAATAATGTGGTCGCCAAACTATCGAACCATATTCCAAGACGCTTCGAACTAATGAATAATATAATTTTATTTTAGTTTTTGGATTTACAAATTCCTTGGCATTGCGAATTACAAAACCTAAAGCTCTTGATGCCTTTGCTATTACAAACTCTATTTGAGGTAAATATGTTAATTTACTGTCTAGAAGTATACCCAGATCTCTTATAGTGCTCACTTCACTTAAAGTTTCACCATAGATGTGATAATCAAAGGCAATTTTATTGTGTTTTCTAGTGAATTTTATATGAAGACATTTCCTAAAATTCAGAGACATGCCATTATATTCACACCACATAATTAGTCTATCCAGATCGCGTTGCAAAAGCACACAATCATAGACAGATCTTATAATTCTTGCAAGTTTCAAATCATCTGCAAACAAATATGCTAAGGACGACTCAAAACCCGAAACAACATCATTTATAAATATGTTGAAGAGAATCGGACCAATATTAGAGCCTTGAGGGATACCTGATGTAATCATTTTATTGAGCGATTTAAATCCATTAATAACAACGTAAAATGATCGACTGGTTAGGTACGATCTCAGCCATGATAGCAAAGGATCTGCAAAACCATATAAAGATAGTTTTTGCAGCAGAATATTATGGGGTACTGAATCAAAAGCTTTGCTAAAGTCTGTATAAATAGCGTCAACTTGCAAGTTAGTATCTACAGCTTCAGTAATAAAATCAGCAAATGTTACTAAATTTGTATTCACTGATCTAGCCTTGACAAAACCATGCTGAAAGTCCGTGATTAATGGTTTTATGAAATTTTGAATCAATGGACATATCAAGGATTCGAAAACCTTTGCAATTGTACAGAGTAGGGAAATAGGTCGGTAACTGGACACCAAAGCTTCGTCATCGCATTTATAAATAGGGATTACCTTTGCTAATTTCCATTGTGAGGGAAATATACCAGTTTTTAGTGATAAGTTAAATATGAGATGTATTGGAATAGCCAAATTCTCTGCACATGCCCTTATGAATAGAGGTGGAATTCCATCAGAACCTGCACCCTTATTGACATCCAATGTCTTCAACCTAGCCAAAACTTCATCTTTAGAAAATTGAACATTCGTAAGTCCATAGCCTAAGCTTGATGGCAATAAGTACCTTGCCACATAATTATTATCCAACAGTGTTTGAGTATCTGACCCATAAATAGACGCAAAGTAATTAGAGAACATTTCACAAATCTCAAATCCATCTGTACTGGAATCAACGCCATTGGAAACTTCGGCTGGAAATGAACTACCTTTATTCCGTTTACTTTTAATAAATGACCAAAACTGTTTCGGATCTTGTTGTATCTTTTTTTCACTATTATTTAAAAAAGTTTTGTAACAGTCTGTGGTCATTTTTTTACATCTCTTACTTATAATATCTAGTTCTATTTTATCCCTTGGATTTTTGTATTTTTTGTATTTTTTTAAAAGTTTGTACTTTTCTTTATAGCGATTTATTAAACTATTGCTAAACCAACACGGATACGTGTTTTTCTTATGTTTGTATTTCGGCACAAAACGAATCAGGACATCCTCAATTATATTTTTTTTTTTTTTTTTTTTTTTTCTTTTTTTTTTTTTATTCATGTAGGACATTTTAGCCGCTTATGAACGTCAAATTTGTACATTATAATTTTATATTTACCCTACCGTCCAGTTCGGTATATAGATCCAATTGAGAAGAACTGGCAAGAAACTCAATTGAATTAATTTTTTTTTTAAAGCCAGTTTATTTACAATGTATATTTATATAGGTGTCTATGTCTAACATTAAATGAAAATTCAGTGCATGAACAACTATTGCCATGCACACTCGTCATTCAAGTAATCGTTTAGTGAGTAATAGGCTTTGCTCAGTAAATATGATTTAACAGATGTTTTGAATTTATTTAAGGGTAATTCCAACATATCCTTTGGTATCTTATTGTAAATTTTTATACCTATTCCCATAAAAGACCTATTAACTTTTTCTAAACGATACTTGGGGACAGCAAGTTTGTCTTTAAATCTAGTATTAATATTATGAATATTGCTGTTTTTTGGAAATAAGTCAAGATTTTTATGAACATATAGAATATTTGAATATATAAATTGAGAAGCAACGGTGAGAATATTTGCCTCTTTGAATTTCTCTCTTAATGAGTCACGACTCTTCATACAGTAGATCGCTCGAACGGCACGTTTTTGTAATATGAATATATTCTTAATATCTGCCGCTTTTCCCCATAGTAATATTCCATAAGAGAGTAAACTATGAAAATAACTAAAATAGACTAATCTAGCAGTATCAGTATCAGTGTACTGTCTAACTTTACGCACGGCAAAAGCTGCTGAACTTAGTTTCGCTGCAAGGCTTTGAATTTGTGCACCCCATTGTGTTTTACTATCTAGTGTGATTCCTAGAAAGACAGTAGATTCTATAAATTCGAGAGATTCGTCATTTAATTTAATATTGCAATTAGTATTAAAACTTTTAGATAGAGAGAAATTAACACATTTTGTTTTTTTAGCGTTTAACATAAGATTGTTAGTTGTAAACCAGTGCAGGAGACGCCGCAAAGCACTATTTACATCGTCATAATTATTAGTCATTCTATTAACTTTAAAAATCAATGAAGTATCGTCTGCAAACAATACTATGCCGCATCTATCCTGCATGGCATATGGGAGATCATTAATGTAAACTAGGAATAAAAATGGACCGAGAATAGATCCTTGAGGTACACCCATTTGCACAAGTGACCCGTCAGACGTAAAAAAATAGCCACTAAATCATTAACAGAGCCAAGATTTTCAAACTTTTCATTCCAATCAATACTCTGAAGATATCCATTGATAGATTCGTAATCCGCTCTGTGGAAATTATATCTTATATTATTTGTGTTATTATTTAGTGTTTTAGATATTCCGGTAGAAATAACGATTTCCAATGGCGGATGAAGCAGATCAATTCTACTAAGAGGTGCAGCTGCCCTATTGACTTCGCAATGGGAGAAGTCAACCAGAACAAGATCAAGTATATTGTTTCGAATATTGACAACATTGTTGCACTGATGAAAATGATTAATTCTACAAAAATCTAGCATTAATTGGTCTCTGGCAGATAAACGATATCCAATAGCAGAATTATCTATAGCCTTCCAGTCGATGCTGCCCAAGTTAAAATCGCCAAATATACAAGTATGCATATCATGGATTTCAGATACTCTATTGCAATTTGTTAAGAATTTATCCAGTAACATTCTATCAACAGGAGGCGGGAGATACAATGCGCATAAGGCGACTTGATGGATTGAATCAGAAATAGAAACATTAATAACAACCCATAGGTCTTCACAGCTACTCTCCCATGACTTTTTTCGGTGGGATACAAGCTCTTTCGTGACAGCAATAGCAACACCACCTCCCTCACTCTTAGAACTATTACTAGTCTGGCGATCACGTCTATATACAACATACCTATCACAAAAAAGTTCCGAACTGTCTATACCATCGTTTAACCAGGTTTCAGTTAATACAATAATGTCCGTGTTACAATTTAACACATTTAAATAGAAATCCTGTGTTTTGGTTTTAAGCCCACGGACATTTTGATACAATATATTAATCGATGAGAATTTTAAAGTTGTACAAACTACTACATGACTTAAAATAATACTATAAAATTTACACTAACTTATTTATACAGTCTATGCTCTTTATTAGATTGTAGTTAGCTCCATCATCCTTCCGCACAAATATTCTTCCATCACGTACCCAAACATACTTATAGTTCAACGCCTTCGCTCTGGATCGCGCTGCAGCGTGAAGTGCCTTATTAGCAGGTGAGAGATGTTCTGTTATATAAATGGGTCGTTTTATGTTACTTATTCCAGCGGATACAGTGTTGAGTTTATCGTGTGGATTAGACTTGTTAAACTTAATTGCAGCAGCCATAAAACTATCGCGAGTTTTTCGAGAGTTAAACTGCACTACAATTGAGCGGGGACGTGAACTAGACCGGTTTATCTTTGCAGTACGTATACAATGTGTGACACTTGACTCCGAGATGCTGTAACCAATTGCATTACCTATCTTTTGAATCATTTCAAAGGTGTTCTCTCCATTAGTCTCCGGGACGCATTGTACCTCCAAATTATTAGCACGTGTAGCCTGTTCGATTTGGTTAATACGATTGTTTAGATTTGTAATTGTGGAACGCATGTCAACGGCTTCAGACTGCAATTTTTTTATGATTTCTGAGTTGATATTATTTTGTTTTATAATTTCTTCATATTGAATGTTTATAAAACTCATGGAATCTCTCATATTACGCATTTCATCTTTGACAGCTCTCAATTCATTAGTGAAGGTCTCACTCATGTTAGAAATCGCTGTTTTCAACTCAGATTTAATAACTTCCTTCACCAGGTCTCGAATGTCATTATGTGTCATATATGCTGCTGATTCTTTTTGTTCCGAAGGGGATGAGAGGGCCATTCTTTTATTAGGCCTTTTGGATGCATTGCGTTCAATAGGATTAAGACCATGTTGACGTGCTGGTGTTACGTCTTTGTTTAAGCTTCTTCTTACAGGTTTGCAGGCTGGGCAATTCCAATCAGACACGATTTCAAAGTCTGACGTATTCCCATTTGGATTCAAACAATTAATATGATATGCATGTCCACACTGAGAGCAGCAAATGTATTCTTCCTCGCTATTATCCAGGCCGCAGCAACCCCACGATAAGGATGATTCCGACATTTTTATGGTATAGATACTCGAACACAGCGTCTAAATTCTCCCTATTAATTAATCTTTAATAGTCTTTTGTGGTAGGCAGCACTGAGTCCAATATGATGGTCGACAGTATCACGTAAAATGTGGGTAGTTTTCAATTTCACAGTTTGACACTTATTATGAGATGAATCGAAATACGCGAGTATTTATTATGAAAATTATCACAATTATGAGAAATCTAATTACTTACAAACAATAAGGTAAAATTTGCAACAAGCGCAACTATATTTGCAAAAGATTAAACACTTTAAATTAGTATAATGCAATTTATTTTGGGAACACAGTGCATAGTATGTTATTAGGTTAAGTGTTGCCACTTATTCTATTATATATGAGCTTTACAGTTTCCCAATAGGAAAACATCAGTACAGTAACATATATGTGTACTAGCCTATGGGTGTTTTGACTAGTTTTTGAATTAATTTATTTAAGAGTAAAAAATTGTGTTTTTTCTTAATGCATTTTTTTGAATGATGATGCATTATAAAATTTGATGGACTGGAGTGAATGGGCCAATAAGGGCCAATGGCTAGTACCAAAATAGTTGCAGGAAAGGGATTGTTAGCAATGGAGTTTGACAGCCCCATTGCTAGCAATATCAGCCCTATCAGGTCGATGTCCACGTGGTTCCCCCTGGTAACCATCGTGAACAATTCTTGTTGAATTCGTCACGATGGGCTAATTGACCTGCTTCATCCTCACCTATCATCCTACACTGGTGCCCCGCCGGTGTATACCGATAGTGCAAGTGGGGTTACTATTTCATTATCAGCCAAAAAAAAATACCAAAATAGTATCACGTGATTTACAGGAGCTGATTTCTTGGACATAGAAATGGAGTCAAAACAATATGTATAATTAAATGGAATTATATTAATTACATATAATAATATACACACATAACAATAATAACGTCTATATCTTAAATCTCTGAACACAAATCATGAGTCATATTTGGTTACGTGTGAATGGTTACCACTTCTATCAGGTGGGTCATCATCTTGTCTTGTCAACATCTTGTATGTTATTTTAAGTTGCCTTAAAGTCAACTCTAATGAATACTAACAAGGATAACCATATAAAAATGTTAAATACAGTTGTGAGATACCCCGTAAAACGAGATAATTTCCCTAGAGACTACAGTATGGGGTTCTTCAAAAAGGGTGAAATGTGAATAGAACTCTATTTTCTGGGCTCAGCCTCTCATTTGGGCCATTGTGCGTTTCTTGAGGGTCAGCAACAGGCATGTGACACTCCTAGTGTTGCAGGTGTCCATAGGCTACAGTCCATAGGCTACCATGAAATGAAATTCCGAATTTTCGGGCTCAATTTCGTGTTTGTGTTCGTACCTAAATCAACCTAGTAAATGGAGCCTAACATTTCGCTCATCATAAATCCTATCCTAATAGTCCAGAGGAACGATATTTTAACATTTTTAATGATTTTAAACGGCATGTATTATGTAATTTTAACATCTAATTTCTGTTTGTCCCCGAAATTTTGGAAAATATTTGACGGTAGGCCCTCAGACGGGCTGTACACTTGTTTGTCACCATAGACATGTTAACATTTTTAGTAACTCTATTGCAATTTATAAAAAGCTGATTAGCAATAATATAAAGTGTGATATTCAATGTGATAGTTATAATGTCTGAGTATATTATAGCAAACAAGTTGTTAAACTAATAGCTATATGTATTGTTTAAGTGCAATAAAGAAAATATTGTTTTTTTTTTTTATAAATAAGTATTAATGCTTTATCACAAAGAGGCAGCACTCGAATATGTATGTAAATATAGGACTGTTACTATATAGAAAACAGACACAATACACTTGTTTGACAGTCTAATAGAAATAAAATTAATACACATAAAGTTACAAAGACTTACTTTTCACGTTCTCTGGCATTTCTATAAAGCTTTACTTCTTCATACAGTTCAGGTCTACTGTCTGTAATTTGCAAGACAAAGTCTTTATTAGATATTACTAAAACAAGGATAAATAGATACACTGTTGTTATTTATTTGGACTTACCTTGCATTTTAAACAGGTATAATTAACACAGTAGTCATCAAGTAGGACAGCAAGTAGGTAATTACACAATGTACATAAAAATCGCACTAGTCTATGAATAATGTTATATTAACTAATTAAATAATCAAAATTAAATTATTGATGAACATGAATTGAAAAATAAAAAAAAGTCCGAAATACAGAGGAGAGGGAAGTAGTGTTGCCAACAAAGATTAAGATTTTCGACTAACCAAAAAATTTTAAAATAATTTGATTGTTGAAAAAGAAAAACGAAAATAATATAATAATATTAACTTATTTTAATGCACTTATTATAGATTAGGATTCCTGTCTTATTTGTTTACATACGTGTCCTATGGAGTGCAAATATGGGCCTCAAACATTTTGCTTCCTACTTGGATAGATAAAAAAACTACGTCTGGAGATATTATTTAGAACGATTAAAACCAAAAAAAGTCCTTAATCTTTTTGATTTAATATAATATCAACTGTAAAAAATCATGGGAAAATTGAGAATAAAATAAAATGGTTGACGCACAGTCGGCTAATATAATAAACTAAATTAATGAATGATAATGGAATGGTAACTCTGTCTGCACTGTCGGTATACGCTTACGGAGTACTAGTGAGTGGTAATAGGTAAGGACAAAAATTAATTATAATGGTTTACAGGGCAATTTCTTTGAAGACAGTTCCGACGTCAAGGTTAGAACACGCCAGCCTGCCGATAAACTTCTCTATTGTCGGGACCCCGAGGTCTTTAGCGATCATATCGCTCCTGTTATAACAACTTGCATCTCTATACAGTTGTAAGGCAAGATTTTCTAGAACCTGTAATCTCCGCCGCTGTATGGTTGTGTACAGCACGTACTATGCGGGCATGTATTAGCCGCATACGAATGTAGGTTTTATATATTCTACATTCATCCGCAGCGATAATTTGAATTTTAGGACGGGTTACAACCTTTGCTTACGTGATGGCATAGTCTACTTAAAAAATCAACCTGTTCTAAGAAATATTTAATTTAGTTGTGATACAGAAAAAGCGCGTTTGTTTGGTTTAAAAAAATTGTACTAAGCTATGGTCAGTCAAACGTTGATTAGGCTATTTGACCCATTTTGAAACCTTGTTATTGCAAAAATAAACAATTATTTCAAGAATAGAAAGGTGTTGATATTGTTTTAAACTGCTTTGGTAGTTAGCCTTTTTGAGTTGTTTGTTTGTAAATAAAGTCGTTTGGTGCTTTCATCAAATATTAAGATCGGGCTAGATTAAGGCCAAATCAAATTAAAAAAAGGCTGGATTAGTTAAAAAACACAGTGAGCAACACTTAACGAAAAAGAATGTCGTGCTTGACATCCACAGTTGACAAATTTCTAGCCATAGATTAAGGATAGTATCTATACTTATATACTGAATACAGGCGTCAAAATCGCATAATAATAATCAAGTATAATAATTATTGCTGTTCGTTTGTAGTGAAAATACATCTATCTTTCACATAGGAGTTAAAAAATTAATTCAAATAAAAAATGAAGAGGACTAATTGTATTTAAATGATTATTCTTTAATATGTCTATTAATATTGTACAACAACTCTAAAATAGAATTTACTTAGTGTATTTTTCTGATAACTCATATTTTAATGATATTTAAGTTTGTTAAAACTGTAATAATATGTCATGTTTAAAATTAATTATGTTGATTAACTTCTTTCCAAGGCTTCATGATCATAAAAAAAGTTAACTGTCGCGGTGACGTAATCCTCCAATATGGCGGATGACGCGCGCCCTCCCTTCCGCCCGCTCCGTAGTTTCGTCGGTTGAGGCAACTAACTGCCACTCGTCTCGAATGATTTCACCTTGCAATGAATGAATATTGTTATAGATAGCCCGTGTACAAATTATTCACATAAGAAACTCGTCGGCGGGACTAATAAGCGGTGTTTACAGTGGTCTATTAGTGTATCCGTGGTGACAGTGCTACCTATTTACTTATTTCACCTTTTTGTGCGACCGTTGTGTTTACGTGCTGAAAACACTGTCTTTTGTGGAAAATTGTGTTAACCGGCTTTATAATTTCACGTTTAATGGGATCTTGTTGATCAACAGGTAAGTTAAATGTGATTTGTAATATTAATTCTAGTTAGAAGTATATTTTTGAGAAGGGCTGCTAATTGCGTTTTAGTGATATTGTGTAAAATGGCAAATAATTAAAGTAGTAATTGGTCATATCATATCACAGTGATGTTTAGTATTATGTTTGTTTTAATATTTTTTTATTCGTATTGGAATATATCGAGTGCGGGTACGCGGGTGGGGTATGTACCTTGGGCGCGGCGCCGGTCGTCCCACTTTGCTGGCTAGCACGAGTTATACTCACGGGCCCTTTTTAAACATACTTGTATACACTGTATGAATATTAATAATACATGTTGCAGAAAACGTGTTTTTTGAAATGGCTATATAACATGCACGTGAATAATAGTTTGTACGAAATATATAGTACTTAATGTTAAATAAATTTTGAGTTTAAAATTATGAAATAACTATATTTATTTATTCATTAAATTATATATAGCTGTTTCTATTTACTACGGCGTTGTGCTGTTAGGCCAATTTGTAATAAGTGAAATAGATTCTGTTTTAATTATTATTATAAATATAAAAGTTTGTAAAGATATTTGTTACTCAAAGTGCTGAACAAATTTGAATTAAATTCTGTACATCAATAGACCACTTCTTGAATTAATACAAGTTACTTTTATTTTTTCAAGGTCACATATTGGTAAAAACAGGATTCCACAAGTATATTTATAAAAAAAATACTACTTACTAAACTCATTCAAAGTTAAGTAGGTATGTTGATAAAAACTGTCATTAATTAATTAAACTAATTAAAACTGCGATTTTTTTTTTTTGTACAATTTTAAAATTATCAACTGTGAAGTTTTACTGTTTTTCTCAGTTACTTAATTTTAAGAAATAAATAAATATTTCCTTTTTTTAATTTTATTTATTAGATACATAAAACAGATCATAACTATGTAAAATAAAATTTTACATAGTAGTTACATTTTTGATTTGCTAGGTTACATTCCAATTACCTTATGTACATAGCTTGAGTAATTCATTTTAAGAACAGTTTGCAACATAGTGCTTTCAATTTTAATTAATTTACATAAGTTTTTAAAAGATTGTACAATATTTTTGGAACATCTTTACTTTAAAAGTCAGATTTGTGAAAAGTAACTCACAATTAATTATTAAACAGTGCATTAATTTGTTTTTCTACACATGCCATTGTTATTGTAATGAAGTATTACATGCTAAATAATTTTTTATTTACATAAAAAAATAAACTAATTAAACAGATATATATGTATAATCATATTTTTATCTATAAACAAAGATATTCTTAGTCTATCATAAACTTAGACTAAGAACCTACCCCCTTATTTATAATAATATCAAACTTCTTTTAAACTTATTTTAACTATTGATTTGTCTCTTTCCTTTATGCTAAATTCCCAATTTGGAAGAAAGTGACAGTTTTTATGAATAAAGGAAGTTTTTAATCTAAGGTTAATAATCAACCTATGGCCATCATAAATAAAAATATTGAAACATGCAGGGTAGGTTAGATTAATGCTTCTGGAAATACAATAGCTGCTATTTTAAAAAACTCACCACTAACATCATTGAGGGGTTGTGATACTGGCTAATGATAGAAAAATGTTAATTTAATATTTTTTTTCTTTTTGAAATACTATAATCTCTAATAACAATTTATATGAGTGCCCACCCCAGAATCTGAGCTGAGCTTTCAGCTATGTACAAAGCCATGTCTGAAAATACATTATTTGCCTCAAACAAGACAGAGCAGGGATCCCCTGGAAAATAATATTAAATACATAATGTTTAAGTTATTGTATTGAAATGGAGTACAAACTTCTGCATTATTTTGAAGCCTGACTGCTAAACAATATCTAAGTGAAATGTTATTCATCATATGTTAGTAAAATGCAAAAAGTAATGGTCAAGTTTCTTGTGAGTTTTTTTTTTTAACAGATTGCAACATTCCGAACTTAGAAGTAGAATCATAAAAAAAATATCACATGAAAGAGCTTGTAAACAATTCTATTTGAATAAAAAATATTTCTTTTATATTCTCCTTCTTTGATGATTTAAAGGAAATTTCACATAAATATTGTTAACTTATTGTTAAATTATTTATCTAATCTCTTATTTATGATAGTAGATAATAAATGGTATATTATAATGCAATATTTTACCAATAATGCAGTATTTAATGTGAATATTATTAGTATCTACATAATATTGCAATAATATGTATCTATGTAATACAAAAACAAAATGTTTGTGTCATCTATTAACATAGAGCTATCTAAATTAGGGCCTGCAGGTCTCATAGGGCCTGGGTTTTATATTTGCGAGGCCCGCTGTGTGTATTTGTTCTAATACAAATATGAAAATTTTTTAATCTTCTTTGGAAATTAAAGTTTTTATTTTTGCAGCTTGCTAATCTCCTATGTCCAGGGGGAAAGGGATTGTTAGTAATGGAGACTGAGAATCCCATTGCTAGCAATATATCCAACCAGGTCAACCTCCTCGTGGTTCCTCGTGGTGGTGGTGGTGGTGGAAGTTATCATGGTTAATTCCTAATGAATTCATCATGATGGGCTAACTGATCTGTTTTCATTCTCATCTATCACCCTTCATTGGTGCTCCGCCAGCGTATCCCGTTAGCGCAGGCGGGGTTACTATATCATTTTCACCCATCAAAAAAATCTCTATGTCCACCATAACATGTTTAAATAACAGATACTGATTCCATATGTGAAAAAGACATATTTTTAATTTACAGTGACTTAAAAATAAGGGCCCTCAACAGTCAGTTTGGGGATCATGTGATTCACTAGTTTATTGTATTGAAATGCTTCTCTGTATTTTGTTGGTAATCCTAGAAATTAATAAATATCGAAACTGAACATATTTCAAGTCAAATATATAATGTTTAGAAAATAAAAGAAGTATGATGGTGCATGTGTTTTTAATTTTTAGGAAGTCTCTTCAATGTTGTGGTGGATTTTAGCATTATTACTTAATTGGACATTTATTTAAATGTTTTACCAGAGGGAAACTTTGTACAAAAGTCGATTGCTTGGGTACCTCTGTCCCATTCGCATTTCAACCGTAAAGCAGTTGTGTTTGCATGGCTGTGTTTTAGTTTGAAGGGTGGGATATGGTGTGAATTTACAGGGTACAGAGGAATAACACCTGAGCCCTCAGGAATGGCAACGTGTGGGGGGTATCATGGGCGAAACAGTATATTCTGTTGTGTCCATGGTACCGCTCATGTCTATAGGGTGACGGTTACCACTTTCTATCAGGTAGGCCGTCAGCTTGTTTGCCATTCTAAGTTGTATAAAAAAAAAGTCTGTAAAGGATTTTCACTACGTAAGTTCAATTTAGACCATCACTCGTCATAGTGTAGTGTTATTGTAAATGTTAAGCATTGTTATACTTAATTTTATTTAAAGATTTAAATATGTACATGTTATTACTATTTACATAGATTTGGTAAAATGGTGAATTTTAAATAAATATTAATAAATCACATATAATAAGTCATTACGAGTCACATCGATGTGGCTGTTATTTGACTCTTAATAAGTATATATGAAATTTTTTTATATTTTGACATATGAAATATTATATACTAATGTTACATAAACCATGAACTGTACCTTTCTCTTATTAAATTTCATCTTGGTTTCATAATTGACAATTAATATTATTACAGAATGACAGCGCAAGGTGATGTGTCTATTTAATTATTTATTTTATAAAAAGCAAAAGTATGTTGCTATATTATAATTGTATTAAGATGCTTGTTGTGGGATAATGAGAGATCTTGATTTAAATAAATATATACTTTTATTGACTGTATATAAGGTTCCTAATTGGTTTATATTTTTCAGATTAAATATATTGCAAAATATAACTAATAATGTATTAAGTGATAGATGTTCCTTTATATATTTTACAAAGATAACAGAGATCAGGGATTGTCAGTAATGGGGACAAGTAGTCCCACTATTGCCTTGTCTTCTTAATTCCTCTTGAATTTGTCAGTTGTATCATTGGATAATATAATACCATTAACATTGGCAGACGTATCGTGCCACCTCTATTAAGAAAAATCATTAAAAATGCTTTAAAAGTCGAAACTAGTTAATTACTTATTATAATAAATTGTTAAAGAGTATAGATGTTCAAAATTCCACATAAAGATGTCAAATATTTTTTTATTATTTATATAATACATTTTTATATAAAGTGTATTGATAAAAACTCCGAGCCTTCCACCCGCCCCCGTCCTCGACCTTACCTCGCCGCTGACATCATCAGAGAATTGAATGTGTTACGATTTGATGACATCATTGTGTCACGTCGCGCACCCGCTCATACGCTTAATTCAACTTAAACGCTTGCACTGATGCCGCCGGCTGATTGTACTCATGATGTTAGTTTACGCTGTGGAGTTATTTCCTTTTAACCGACTTCGAAAAGGAGGTTCTGAATTCTGTCGTAAGAAATACAAATTTATGTTTGTTAGTTACCTCATCGGTCGACCAATGGATTTACAACTGACGTAACTAACGTCGTTATTTGAAAAATTTCTTTTTTTTTTATCTGAAAGGATATAAGTACTTATAGATTAGTCCTATAGATTTTTTTTTCAAAATTAGTGGTTTTGCCATAATTGATATCGCTTTTTTTTTTGTGTAACGCAATTCTAATTATTGTGATAGTATGCCACTTTGCTCTGGCAGTAACGTGATTGTTTAGAGCATTTACCGATGAGGCAAATTATGTTTTTATTGAATATATTACCAGAGGGAGACTTTGTACAAACGTCGTTTGCTTGGGCACCTCTGTCCCATTCGTGTTTCAACCGTGAAGTAGTTGTGTTTGCATGGCTGTGTTTCGGTTTGAAGGGTGGGATATGGCAGTGAATTTACAGAGTATAGAGGAATAACATCTGAGTCCTCAGGAATGCAACGCATGCGGGGTATCATGGGCGA